GTACAAGGGAGATGGACGTACTGTCGTTATGTCGATCCAGTGTACCACTTTACTTTATAGTCCAAGATAATTCCTAGATATTTTACTGATTGCAATAGAACTAGTCTGGTCCCATAGAAGCCTGTCAGCTTCCTTCTCCTGGTGAATAGAATCAGCTCGATCTTTCCAGCGTTGACAAGTCTGTCAACTATCCTTTCCAATGTCTTGAGCGCAAAAGATGAAAGGGTAATCGGACGAAAATATTTCAGATCTGCCCGGTTCGGGAATGAATACTACTTTAGTTAGTTAGCAAGTAGTAGAAATTATCATTACATGTAGCCTTAACTTTGGATTTATTGTAAACTGTCGACTATATATTTCTTAAAGCCTATAATTTGAAAATTATACGACGTAGTTTTTTTTAATATGTCTCTGATAACTATCATGACTTGACCTATCCCCCGTTTCCGACTTGACATCAACTTCTAGGACACCCTGTATAGCATCCAAAAAAACATATCTCATTTTCTAAATAAACTTAGCTTTGGAAGGCGTCCGACATAAAGTCTGAAGGTCTAGAACAAACCGATAGAGCTGGCAACTGTGCACAATGCGTCTATCGCGCTCAGTTCCTCTCCTTCCCTTCTTTCCTTTTACCGTCTTCCTGTCGCGGTTTTGTTAGTGCATGTGCACCTGCATTACTCACCCATCGGATCTGATAAGGCTGAAGATAAAACAAATAATGCAAACGTCTAGGCTCCAATTAAATAAGTAATGTTGGACCAGCGAAAGATTGCAAGCCGAAAGAATGCGGACAAAAAATTGCGAAGTTGTCAGATGTTCTACATAAAATGCGGTCCATACATATTAACATATTTAAGATATAGAATTGTTCCGCTGAATTTGGCAATGTAGCTGGAAAACCCAGGCCGCAGGTAAACATCCGGTCGCTGATTGGTCCAAAACTCTTATCTTATCTGAAACTAGAATAACGTGCCGATGGCACGGTCATTTATAAACCTACTCCCATAGGCGTAGGCAGTTGGCAAATACTTTGAAAATATAATTTACTGTTTAGTGGTGATAATGGAATTCAAGCATGGGAAAGTTATTCACAGCCAGGCAAGGGAAATAATAGCAAACGTGATACGTGCTTGCGATGCAGAAGCGGCTAACAATACTTTCGTTTATCCACTGGTAGCTAGAAATGCAAGGGCGGCATATTATACGGGTGTTAGTGAACGAACTATAAGTAAAATTAGAAAAGAAGATAAAGACAGGCAAAATGCAACCTCCACACAGCCTTTAGCTTCTCCCGGAAAAAAGAGATCACGCCCTTCTGTGATCCAAAAAATTGATGGAGTCGATTTTTCCATTATTCGGAGAATGATAGAAAAATTTTACTGTGATTTTAAAGTGGTACCTACTTGTAGTAAACTTCTAATCAAACTGAAGGAAGAAATGGAATTTCCATTTGGTAAAGAATCGTTGAGGCTGCTTTTAAAAGCAAAAGGATTTTACTGGCGTAAATGCCACAACAAAAGGAAATTACTAATGGAAAGACCCAGTATTTTACATTGGCGATACAAGTATCTTAGGTCTATTAAAAAGTTCCGGGAAGAAGGAAGGCATATTATTTATTTGGACGAAACTTGGGTTGATAATGACCTCACTTTCAAGAAATGCTGGCAAAGCGAAGAAATTATGGGTGTCCTGAGCAATATAAGTTCTACAGGTAATAAAGTTTCTTTCACCTCGATTTTGCTTATTATACATTTTTCTCAATTTTGGAATATTCTTAATAAGTGCTCATTTAATTTGTCTAATTGAATACATAATCCCTTGCAAGTATTTTTTTCTCAAAAATATGTTTTTTATACATAGTGATTCAAAAAGGTGTTGGCAAACTTAAAATAACACTAAAATGAGGCTATTTATTCATTTCCAGGACGACTTATAATTGTTCATGCGGGTTCGCAAGATGGTTTTGTTCCTGGAGCCTGTCTCATTTTCAAGGCTGGCTGTGCCACTGGTGATTATCACGGTCAAATGAACCAAGAAAATTTCACGAAGTGGCTTACTGAAAAACTATTTCCTAACATTCCTCCTAATAGTATTATAATAATGGATAATGCACCTTACCATTCAGCTTTGGAAGACAAGCCTCCAACTAGATCTTCTCTAAAAAGAGACATCATCACGTGGTTGAGCAAAAAAGGTATAGAGCATGATCCTAATGCTAAAAAAATGGAGCTTTATGAAATAGCTTGTCTACATAGGCCACCATCTGATGAGAAAAATTATAAGATAGATAATTTAATAAGAAGTTTCGGACACACCCCACTTCGAACGCCACCCTATATGTGTCAGTTTAATCCCATAGAGATGATTTGGGCACAAGTAAAATTTTTCATTAGAAGCCATAATACAAGCGGCGAATTTACTATAAAAAAACTAGATGAAATTTCTAATAAGGCCATCGCTTCAGTAAGTGCCAGTGACTGGCAAAAGGTTATTGGACATGTTATAAAAATTGAAGATGAATATTGGGAAAAAGACAGTCTCATTCAAGAAATACAGGAAGAAATAATAATCAACATAGGAGGTGAAAGTGATAGCAATGACAGTTCCTCAGACAGTGATCATGACTCTAATCAGGATTGAAACTATACTAGATTGGCTACCTTTTAGAATTTTTAGATATTCATTTATTATACTATTGGTTTGTGGCTTTTAGTATCTCAGTAGAAAGTCTAATTCTATGTGTTGTTTATGGGTTATTTCATCAAGAAATTACTTTTTGTTTTCCTATATTTTTCTATTCAGTCAGATATTTTTGACTTGTTGTATTCTATTTTAGAAGAATGCATAATTTGTTTTGCTGTTCAATCATAATGCGTACATAGGAATATTACTTGTTGCCTAAAAAATATATTTATTTTGTTCTCAATATTCAGTGTTTGTGTATATTTATTTCTTATAATGTATGTTTGGTATCACGTCATTATGAATCGCAAAAAAAATATTAATACTACCAGTTGTAATAAAATATAAATTCAATTAATAATTCAAGTCTCTCCGATCTCCGCCTATGACTCCATATAAAATCGTCTAATGGTAAGGTTTTTTCATCGCATTTCCCCCTTTCGTCCCTAGCAATCTTTGGCTGGTCGATCAATATTTGTTCTTTCTGCCTTACCTACCGACATGAAAGATTTTTGAACGAGCGCGTACCGTATTTGGAAAGAGAAATTTGATTCTTAATTTTTATTAGCTGGAAATATAGCGATTAGAAGCTTCAAGTGATGAATTAGTTGATAAATTTGGTGTCATACCAGCAAGAGGATTACAAATATTCAAATGTTTACCAATAACATTTGTCCGACTACTTGTAATGTCCGGGTTATTGACACATTCACCCTAAATATAAAACTACGCCATTGGCTGAACAAGCTTCTTGCCTATTGAAGATCGGTCCAGGGACGGCGGGTTAAGGGCGAAAAACGGGAAATTTAAGAAATCATTATCAAACTTTGAGACGCTATTTTTGACCCTAGTCAAAAATAATTAGGAATGTACAGGTCAGAAATTATATAATTCGGAACTTTCTTTTGCATTTTTCAAACTTCTGATATTTGATTAACGTATTCCCACCTTAAGAAAATTTTATACCTCCCACTCTCAAAATTTTCAGGGGCAGGTACATTTTCACAAAAAGCTTTCTCTTGCCATTGAAAAGTCTGCAAATTTTTAAAAATTTGAACTAGAGCATTTTTAAAATTCGAAAAATAACAATTTTAAATAGGTATCTAAAATCTTGAAGATTTTGAGAATTTTTTAAATTTGAAAGTCAAGAATTTTGAATATTTTTAAAATTCTGAAATCTTGAAAATATTGGAAACGTTGAAAATTTTAAATATTTTGAAAATTTGTGAACTTCGCATTTTTTTTAAAACCTTGGAAATTTTGAAAACAAACTTGAAAATTATGATAGTTTTGCATATTTTGAAACTTGAAAACTTTGAACGTAAACAACTTTATTCAGTTCAGACGAGTTCACAGGTTTTTAAAATTCAGAAATTTTCCCAAATTTTATAAACTATCATAATTTTCAAAATAAAAAAATCGTAATTGTAAATTATGAAATCCCTAAAATTTTTGAAAATTGACAAGTTTGAAAGCATTGGAAATTTTGAAAATGTTGCAAATTTTGAATTATATGAAAAGTGAAAATTTCATGTTCATGAGAATTTTTGAAATTTGAAAATTAGGAATTTTGAATATATTGAAAATCTCGATTTTTAAAATTTTGAAATCTTGAAAATTGTGGAAACGAAAATTTTGAATAATTTGAAAATATGCGAAGTTTGAAATTTTTTTAAAACCTTGAAAATTTTGAAAACAAACTTGAAAATTATGACAGTTTTGAACCTTGAACATTTTGAACGTAAACAACTTTGTTCAGTTCGGTTTATAAAATTCGGAAGATTTTCGAAATTTTAAAAACTACCAAAATTTTCAAAATAAAGTTTGAAAGCATTGCAAATTTTGTAAATCCTGCAAATTTTGAATAATTTTAAAAGTGAGAATTTTAAGATTTTGTAGATTTGAAAATTAAGTTTTTTGAATATATTGAAAATCTTGGCGATTAATTTTTAAATCTTGGAAACGTTGAAAATCTTGAATATTTTGAAAATTGTGTAGTTTGAAAATTTTGAATACTGAAAATTTTTAATATTTCGGAATCCTTGTGAATTTTGATATCCCCGAAAATGTTGAAAATTTTGAATAATTTGAAACTTGATAATTTTGAATGTAAACAACTTTGTTCTGTTCAAATGAGTTGCAAGCAGAAATATTGAATAGACCAACAATGTGGGTAGAATGAAAAGCCTTGGAAATCAGAATTTTCTGATGCATGTGATATGTGTATTTTTGTTTACACTAGTAAAACAGCCTTACCGTCAGGCTTTCCTAGAATTGTAGGAATGGCTGACCGTGACAATACGGCTCTTAGTTTGCTTCTGTTGTTGGCAAGCATTTTAAAAATAACACGCATTCCTTCAAGTATGATCATTTTAATAAAGAATACTGATACACTCATTTGATCTCAAATGTCACTGGATTGCTCCTAATCTCTAAGTTTGGCATAATCTCCTCCAATAACAAACATGTGTACTCATACACAGTCGATTTCATAAAATCATCCAAATACAAAATCTTCAACTTCTGAAGCTTATACAAACAGCCTATCCCTCTTGCACTAATGTTTGGACAATTCCTCAGATCCAAGTAAATCAAACTATGACTGAACTGATTCGTTATTCTATCCACACACCAGTCATCCATATTCTCGCAGCCGTTTAGACTCAACCACTCGACATTTCTCAGGTCGTATAGATTTACAAGTCCCTCATAGTATAAAGGCATGTCTGCACAATCAATAGCTTGCAGCTCCCAGCCCTCTTCATAAAACCTTGGAAGGTCATATTTGCCCCTTTCATCTGCTTTGACCCACTCGTCATGGTTGAAAAATTTGACAGCTCCTCCTCTTGCCACTAGAAAAAATTTAAAAAATATCAGCTAGGCTAGGGCCACTGCTACCCATGATCTACAAAAATGATCTAATTTCATTTGCTGACGAACCTTGGGTGAATTTTACTTTACCTATGAAATGTGCAGCTGCCAATTCGTTCCCCAATATCTGATTTCTCTCGGGAAGGTACGCTTGTTGTACAATCTCGCTTTCTTCCTTTTTTTTGGCCCACCATTTTTTTATTGCGCTAGGAGAAAGGTCTATCTGAGTCTGCAATCGCTGCAATGTGCTTCTTCTGTTCTTCTCTGTGTAAAACACCCTGAGAAAGCTGTGATATTGCCCCTCTTTCTGATGCCAAGGTGTCCTCCATCTCAGCTCTTCTGTAGCGACTTTATTCGGTTCGTATTTTTCTTCCGCAACTTGTGTGTGTGGTCCTTCCCTGCTCTGAAGCGCATTCGCTGGTGGCTTATCAAAGGTTATTTCAAGTTTGTTTGAGGATGAATACTTGCATGCACATTCTCTGCCCACGGGCAGGCGGATAAATGATAGAGAATTTTTTAATTTCAACATTTTTCAACTGCATGACCTTTTCAAAACATTGACATAACCTAAAAGCTCAAAGGGTCCAAGGTGACAGAGATGGTTAGAAAAGAACCACTACTGATCTGATTTATTCATCCAATGAACAAGACTAACAAAGTAAAATTTAAAGGGAGATCTGGTAGATAACCTATTTTCTTCATTGGAGTAATCAGAATCTTGTATTAGAAGATAACGTTTGAGATAAAACGCGATTGCTTCTTAAAATAAAACCGAATGACTTCGTTGATGAACCGATTTGCCCAACTCGATTCATTACAAATATCGAGTCGTATACATCGAACTTATAGATCCATCTCTATAACATAGCTTATGCGGTGCTGCCATCTAGGGATGATGGATATAAGCTAGGAACTTGGGTACTTTTGCCATCTATGAACGTTGTTCGAAACCTTAAAATACAAAGCTACAGATGCTGGAAATATGAGTTATTAGTGAAATTTTAAAAATTATTTGTCTTATAGGTCAGAGAAAATTCGAAAATATGAAAACTGAAGGTGTTACGTTTTCCGATGTTGTCGCCATCTACCTTCACTTAAGTTAACTGTGTAGTGATAGAGATGCGTAAAATGATCGATATCGATCTATAAAATTAAATTATTTTTATTTATTAATCAATAAATTTTGATAACAACAACACTATCTGATTATCGCATCCAATCTTTACCTTTTTGGAAAACACTCGAACAGAAATTTGCATGATACTTAATCAAACAGATGCCGGCATGCGCCGACGATTCAAAAATCCATACAAACATCTCGTTCCGTGATTGGCCACTTTGAATTTTTTGGACAAATCAGAAGGGCGTGTGTCATCGAAACGTCACTCTAAACCTGTGTGGAATTGAGGAATTCCGTAACGACTTTTTTCCTAGCCTGACCAAAGCAAATCAATCGAATTTTTAATAAAGCGCTGAATCAACAAGCGGAAAATGGCTCAAAATGTGAACCCATTTTACGAACAACAAGCTGAGGATGCTAAACATAACGACGAATCGAAAAGGGCCAGCAACGAAAGTCACGCAGTCACCAAAAGGTAATTTTCGAAACCCTTTCTTAACCTAAAGCATAGAGGAAATCTTAAAATTAACGTAGATATCCTTTATAACATTGATCTAGTTTATTTAGAGTATATTTGAAATTGTATCAAACTCTGCGTTCGTCGATATTATTATTCTTTAACTCTTTGAGGAGCAAGGATTTTGGGCTAAAAAAAGACCAGGTGGAGCAGAAAAAAATGTATTGCAAAAACAAGTTAGATCGTTTACATTTCAGTCAAGTACATACTTAAATTAAATTAAAAGACATTCTTTCGTTTTTTTTTTGCTTTTTTTTGCAAAAGTAAGGGTGGTACCAAATATGTACCACCAACCCACAAGGTAAATGTTCTTATGGATTATAGAAGGTTTGAAAACAAGATTTATTTTTGCCTAAACAAAGGGGAACTTGGCAGATGGAACAGATCCACTCTGTTCTAATTTGTTTAGCCTTAGTGCTGCATAATGCACATCTCTTTCTAGAACTACGTTCAGGCTGGTCACTAGAAGATGTTGAATTTCTGGAGGTACAAATGGTTTTGATTTTTTTCTTTCCAATGGTGGGGATAACATAGTAGCACCTCTTTTTTTAGAAACTAATGTTTCAGCTACAAGGCCATTTACTACCTTATGCTGGAAATCTTTTGCAGATAGTTTGGGCAAATTCAATAATTTGTAAATGGAATATGCGTTTACAATGGAAGCATCAATCAAATAAAAAAAAATTCGGTGCCACCATTTTCGGCTACGGCGGTCAATTTTATAGCTTGATAATAACTGATCGAAAATGTCCACAGAATTCATGTTACAGTTGTAGTCCAAAATAGCTTCTGGACACTGGATTTGTACTATATTACCGTTTTTTCTTTTCTTTTAACTTCATTAAGTTTTTCTGAATCATGGTAGTTAGAAAGTATATGCACAGCTCTTCTATCTTTCCATTTGATAGCTGCTAAACCCGTGTTACTTGTGAACCACTGAAATTCGCCCCTATTCATGTGTTTGTCCAATTTAAATGTTGGCAGGTGTCGACGCGATATATTAACTTTGCCAACAGCATTTATTCCTTTTGATTTTAATTGTTCTAATAGTGGTACGTTGTTAAAAAAGTTATCAAAATACACGATATGGTTCTTATTTGCCAATTCTGTTGTAAAAAAGTGGATTACACGCGCACCAAGACATTTTTCTGTACTCTCCGTTTTGCCAGTGTAAATATCGAATTTTAAGCAATAGCCTGATTTGTCAGCAAGCATCCAGAATTTATATCCGCGTTTAATTGGTTTTTTGGGCATGTATTGCTTTAAACTGCTCCTTCCCTTAAACTTAATCATGGATTCATCCACTGCGACTCTCTGGCTAGGCAGCAAACATTTTTCAAAATTTGTTGACATTAAATCAAACATCGGTCGCAATTTATACAATTTGTCAAATTTGGGTGACGAACGATCTGGCATAACAGAGTCGTCATTAATATGGAGATGAGATAGAAGCCAACTAAATCGTTTTAGACTTAGAATGGAGCAAATAAACGCATCGTTTAGATCTGGCGCACTCGACCAATAATCTTTGTATAACATGGAGAACGTTTTATTCCCATTAGAATATTAAGTCCTAGGAAGGCCCTTATTTCACTTGCATTAGTCAGCGTATACTGTTTGCCAGTTGATGCTTTTATTTGCTCTGCATACAAATTTGTTTGAAAGACCAAATGATCCACAAACTCGTCTGTGATAAAAAAATTAAAGATAGTGAATGGACTGAGATTGTCATGATCCTTAATAAAATCCGGGACTCCAGATTGTCCAAGAAAGTCACTGGGAGGACTGGGTTTCGTAGTATTAGACCAAGTTGCAGGCTTATAGATGGGAGTAGGGTCCTCAGGTGCAGTAAATTGAGCGCTACCTACCATATTCGCTTTCAAAACAGCCAGAGGTATATCGTCTTCCGAGTCTTCTGATTCCGAGACTAGCGTATCAACTCGTCCCACAAACTGGTCTTCAATTTCAAGATCAGATGTATCGACTTCGGACTCATCATCAGATGGTATTGGTTCCCCAACTACATAACAGTCTTCAATTTCATCATACAACTCGTCCACACTCATATCAACAAGACGAAATGGCAAATCAACAAGACGAAATGGCAAATCAACAAGACGAAATGGCAAAAGTCTTTGCTCTGACATGTTTCTAAAAAATTAACAAAAATACCACTAATGCAGCGGTGGTACAAAATACGTATCACAAAAAAATACATATTTTCGAGTTCAAGAAATGGAAAACTGTCCTACTTCATAATGGCAGAACTTCGCTTATTTTATAATAAAAGCGTTTTTGTTCACTTGTTTTTAACTATTTATAGACTATAGTTTCATGCCCAAAACATTGTAAACAATCAAAATTCGACTAGCGGCCAAATCGCAAGTTAGCAATTTCAACCAACCTATTACTATTGGCGTGAAACGCATTACCACGCATCTGCATTGGTGGTTCAGCGAATAGACCACTGAAACTTTAATAAAATGAATTTACGTATGCGGTATGTATTTTGAACCACCGCCGCTAAATGATGACTTGTAGGGTGGTACATAAATTGTACCCTTGATGCTCAAAGAGTTAAGGGAAAATCTTTTTGGTTTATCTTAAACTAGAATTTTTCTAAATGTGAGTCAAAATGTGCTTTCCATAGGCCAGTAACAGCTCTAGAGTTTTCTATCAGCAACATTAACAGTTGTGGAAAATGTATATAAGCCGATTTGTGAACTGTTTTGAATTTTGCATCATTCCAAAAGAAAGTGTGTGCAGGGTATTCATATTTGGGCTGAGGCAATAATTATAAGCTGAAAACTCTTAATGTCCTCAAGAATGAATTGCTCAGAGTTTTTGAATCATCAAAAAAATATGCATTGCGAATTTTTTTAGTTAATGGAATCTTGATTTGATCTGGGTGTAAAGCATATTCTTTTACATGAGATACCTTTATCGAAATGAACTGTTTTCACCTTTTCTGTATATGATAGTTCAACAAAGCATACTGTATAATTATCAAATCGTTTTAAAAACGTCAGTTCTGTCAATAATCATATCTATCGATTTACAATGTTCAAACTGCTATACTGCCTCTAAGACATTGATTTTAAAAAGGAGGACACATCTCCAGTGTTAAAGAGATCTCAGTGCTGTATAATTAATCAGATGCAATGAGCCGCTATAGAGTTGGAGTATTCCTTTTGAGAATAGTGATACCTTTGTTGATGACAATCAGTATAATAACACGTCCGTCTTTTATATCCCTGATCTACCTTGCTATGATGCTGTATCTACCATTTATAAACCTGCTTGATGACAGAAACATAGACACCGGCGTATTCAAGTACATCATGAGATTCCTACCTTTTCAAACCGTTGCTACACAGTCGGGATTTTATCTTTACACAATCAGTTCTGATGAGATCATGTTGGAAGAGAACGGAAAGATGCGACGTCTCATGAAGAATGTCGGCTTAAGCTCCATTGAAGGCTTAGACCCTTTTGAAGCGATGTGCTGGTTAGGTCCTGAGGCTAACATGCTGTTAGTTTCTATACTTTATACATGGGCTGTAAGTTTGATATCGAGCAGTGCTGCTTCAGAGGCGATGGATCAGGAGGAGATTGAGAGAAGACGGAGAGAAAAATACACATATCTGGCTATGTCTGCGTCAACTGGGAAATTTATCACCATCTGTATTTTGCTGATAACTGCCTTGTGGCGACACTCGATCTTCGGGTTGGCTTATTTTCTGATTTACCTGTTTTTTATGACTTGTTGGGCGTTATACAAAGATCTGCGCAAGCTGTTATCTCGAGTCTTGTTTTTTTGCTTGCCTATCACTATCATCCACACAGTCTGGCAGTACCTTTATCAAATAGAGATTTTTCAAGCGTACATTCCAAGAGACAACATTTACAACAAGATATTTGGTATAGATATGCTGATCGAAGCAAGGCCAGAGCATGGTGTGAACTTCATGAAATACAGCATCAACTGGAATAACTTGCGACATTTGAGCTACCCACTTGTGGTTTACGTTTTATATCACTTTATGGTCAACGAAGCGATGATGTTGAACAGTTTGGATATATTCATCAAAGAAGAAGGAAAACGAGGTGCTTCGCTTAGGATCAGCAAAAAGGACCGCGGCGCGAGAAGAATGTTCGGTTCCAGAAGGAAGCACAGAATACGCGACAATATCGTCGAATGGATTGATAGTACCGTCTCCGTTATGTACCATTATGCGTACGTTGGCTCTATTTGTGTCATAATGATCTGGTCAGTTACGTTCATCAACGCGATATCCTTTGTTTTGCTATTTATGGCGATTTTACTCTGGATGGTGCCACGCAAGAAACAAGTCACCGTCGTATGCTGCTTCTGCCTTTGCGTATTTTCCTACGGCAACATGGCGTACACGTATCTCCTTAGTGTCGATACGGGTGAGCATACATACATAGATATTGCGAAAGAAAGTAAACTTTCAATTTTGGATTTCATGGATCTGCAGCGGATGGTGACAGTAGAGGTAGGCATAAAGGTACTGTACACTTTTGTGTTTTGGTCAACGATACGTCGGTATATGCAGGAAAGATTTCGATTCGCTAGTAGAATCGCCTTGCTTCGTACACAATCCGAACTCGATCGATCTGCGAGAAAAGCTGGTAAACTAGAGGATTTGTTGTTCAGAATTTTGGTAAGATGGTGGATAGTACTCATAGCTCTGTTCTTGTTTGTCACCGGTGTCACTGGTCAAAAGATGAATCTTTTCAGGATTCTTAATATGTTCAAATACCTTCTGTTTATGCTTGTCTTGCAGCTGTCGTTCAAAGCCTGGAGAGCGGTTTTATACGTCTACATGATATTTTTGATTTTCATGTCTCTGTTCACCATGGTGTCCACGTATCTTTATCAGTTTCCCGGCGTCGATGAATTTATCGAACGTACATTCAACCTCCGTCATAATTTGGTGCGAGACCTGGGACTGGTCAAGATCTCGTCGCTGAGAGACTATTTCAACAGAATCATTCTTCCCGCGATTTTTATCGTGATGAATTTGATTCAAATGAACTTCTTTCACGAACGTTTCATGGAACTTACGGACGAGAAAAATACAGACATCGCCGAAGAGGAGGATGATATTAGAGCGAATAGTAGCAAATTCACGAAGTTGTATACGGACATTGTTGATTACATCTTCATGTTCTTGGAGTTCCATATGTTGAAGGTGGTGATGTTAGTGTTGTTTTTGATGAGCATTTTGGACCCGTGCGCGTTATATATGCTCATTCTTCTGCCGCAGTGTATTACAATGGCAGTGCCATTCAAAATCACCCGTGTTTTTGTGATGTATTGGGCGGCGATTGTGGTTTCAGTGCACAATATGCTGAGAATGATCTATGCATTGCATTATATCAGCGAATCTGATTATCACGTCACGTGCGCTATGACAAAACATCCAAAAATCGATCTTGTGAATAGTAACTTCGCGAACTGGTTAGGCTTCAAGAAGTATAAAGTAAGCGAAAAGACGCTATTTTCTTACTTGCTGTGGCAGACGGCATTTGTAGCAGCTTCGTCTCTGATGAACATCGCATTAGCTAGGCAAAGAATACGGAGGGTACAAAGAGGTATGTCTGAGAAGACACCTGACGTTATGTTTCCTGAAGTTACTTTCCGAGACGCTGACCGTAATTTGAAAAATTTCATCAAGTACATTTTGAACTACGGCTACTTCCGATTCGGTTACGAAATTTCTTTGGTAATGATAGCCGTTGTGATCGCAGTAAGACTCGACGGTTATGCTATCATGTACTCCGGCTGGCTCTGCGTGCTGCTTGTACTGAAAAGAAGCATCGTCAGATGGATATGGACGATATTTGTCATGTTCACCTCGGTATCCATAACATGGCAATACCTCATGGCCATCGGGTTGCCCCCGCAGTGGTGTCACGAATACGAATGGGAAACTAGGACTCACTATTGGACGGTGGCGCAAGATTTTTGGTTTCTGGCAGACAACTACAAACCTCTGCCCATCAAGAAACTGATCGCCGAATCGCTGATGTGTATCGTTTCTTGTAGACAGCTGCACAACTTCTGGAGGGAAATCCGAAACTCCTGGAAGGATAAGTTTGTTTATGAAGGTGGATCCAATGAGAGTATTCTAAAACAATTCGAGCAGCCTGGCCACGCGAATCCTGTCTCAGACTTCACAACGTACACCACATCTTACCTAGATGTCTTCAAAGGCATATTCTTCAATGTGTCATACTATGGCGCTATATGGATAGTTTTTCTTGGAGGCGTAAACAGAAACAACATCTTCTCCATCGTGTACCTCTGTTATGTCTTCGTCTACCTGTGGTACGGCCTCAACCTCTACTACAAACCTCTACCTGCCATACTCAGATCCTGGAACAATCTTATCGCTCAAAATGTCTTGATCATAATGGCAAAGGCTTTGCTGCAGGTTGTAGGATGCTTTTATTTGTATAGAATCCCTATGTCGTATTGCGCTTTTGTCAAGTTGTTCGGGATCGGCTGCGTGCGGAGGTTCGAGGATACTAAATACTTTGAACAACTGGAGCAGAGCGAATGCAAACTGCGTTGGAACGAACTGGCCGGTATCGAATGGGATGTTGTCATATTCGCGTTCTTGATGATACAACGCAGAGTGTTTATGAGTTACAATTTCTTCTTGATCATCGACGAAGCAAAAGCCGGGCATCTGCTTTCTGCTAGAGGCGCCAGCATCTTGCACGACATGAAACACAAAGAAATAAAAGCTGTAAACGACGAGGTAGCAAGGATCAAAGAAAAAATCAAATCCGAACAAAAACGGGTGAAAGCTGCAGCTGAACGATTCCAAGGCGCGTATGCCCGCACAGGGGCCACCAACCACCCAAGAGCGACGCGACTCGGTGATTTCTACATGTTCGAAGATATCGAAAGCGAAATTGAGACAGATCTCCTCCCGCCAATAGACGAAGACGAAGGCTTAGAAAGAGATCTCACGTTGATTGGATTGTTCGTCGATGCCTACGAAACCGACCTCCGTGAAGCTGTGATACACTATTGGGGAGACGATGCAGTTATTACAAGCGAGACATATACTTGGAAATCGAGACTGTACTACGTCTACAAATTCATTTTGGCGATCTTCGATTCGTTGATGGTCGATGCTACAATCTTTATGGATAAAAATACAGGGAATTATAAGACGGTACGAGATACTCTGGAACAGGAAAAAAGGCTACTCAAGGAAACGACTGATTATCAAAACGGCGTTAGAGTTGAAGGTTGGTGGCTACCCAGAGCCTCCTATGACACTTTGCTGCTGAAAGGCAAGTTACAAAAACCGAAGAAACCTCCGAAGGAACTAACACACGAAGAACGACCGAATTTTATCAAGATGATGCAGTCTCTGTATATCTTCACTTTGGCCAAGTCAGATCTCCTCTGCTATGTCTTGATCATTATGAATCAAATAATGTACTGTGAACTGATTACCCTTCCTCTAGTTTTGATGATGTTCGGCTGGGGTACTCTATCGAATCCCAGGCCATCAAAAACGTACTGGATCATCATGCTCGGCTATGTTGAATGGGTGATATTGCTCAAGTGCATCTTCCAGTTTGAGGTGATGCCCGGTAACGTCGTCCGCGAGAAGATAGAGTTCAAGACTAAATTGCACAAGACAAATCCATTTTTCCCGTCCGTCGTCTGGGGATTGCAAGCTGAAGACTGGTACTACATTTGGGAGATGTTCATCCTTTTCTCTATAATCTTGCATCGACAGTATTTGAAGACCATCGGGCTTTGGTCATCGATAAAAGATACAACGCAACAGGAGCGCTTGGACGGAACATACGCTATAGTCAACGGAGTATTGGTATCCAGAAAAGTCACCGACAGGATGTACGTCGTGACATGCGCGAAGGCAGACGCTCTCGACAGAGCGTTACTAGCTATCAAGTCGATTTTGATCCAGTACGCAGTGCATCTAAGAGACTTATATCAACGGTTGATGTTTCACGCTTTCCAGAAACCCGTCGATCTCTATACTCCGATGTTCATCTTCGACTTGATCAGTATGATCGTTATAGGAATCGGTTATCCGGCATTCTTCGACGACGATGACGAAAATATTTTTTTCTACGTCAGCGAGAATATAATTCCGGTGAAGTTTGTCATGTGTCTGTTCGCGCATATGATGGGTAGCCTCGTAGACCGCGCGATCTACCTCAGAAAAGACGTAACTGCGAAGCTTGTCTTCCAAGTGCTCAACGTCATACTCCTCCACCTGTTTCTCTTCTTTCTGTTGCCTATCTTCGGAAATGGAAAACTCGCTCACAGAGACGCCGCGATTATTCTTTATTATATCACCCGTTGTCTTTATTTGCTGATTTCGGCGTGCCAGATCAGGTGCGGATACCCCAGTCGCATATGGGGTTATTTCATGACGCACGATGTCGGAGCCGTGAGATATTGCCTATTTCTCGCATACTGGAACATTCCCATATTATACGAGTTGCGTGTTCTCATGGATTGGATATTCACGGATACGACGATGTCAATTTTCGAATACTTCAGGATGGAAGATATCCATGTCACGTTATACGATATCAAGTGCAAACGACAAGTTGAAGAGAACCATTCCGTGGAGCCCGGTGAGCCGAAAGTACGGTTCTTCAAGTATGTGTACGGTACCAGCTGGGTCATAATCATCCTTGTAACAATTTGGTTTCCCATAATGTACGTGTCTTGGGGTAGGAGCGTGGGAGAGTCGATGGTACCCAATCACGCAAGGCTCACTCTTACCGTAGGAACGGTGGATCCAGTGTACGACAATCGCGCTACCGGAATCTTTAGATTCAGCGAACTTGATTACCAACATCTGCTGCAAGTCTACAACGCGTACGCGGCGTCTAAGGTGTTTCTGCACGGCTATACTTCCAGGGACGTCTGCGCCGTCATCTTCAACCATGGCAGTCAAATATGGATGATTCGAGAACAAGACAGGTTGAAAATCATCAGGGAGTTAAGGGGATCGCACCCGGTAACGCTACGTCTACAGTGGGAGGTAGGCTTATCCTTGGAAGGAGAGATTCATATAGCCAAAGGATCGGTCGATAAAGCGTTATACCCTTTCACGTCAGGACGGAAAATCTTGGCTGAGATGATGGAGCTCTCTAAAGGCAAATCACTGAAATCGCAGTTGATGCGGTACATGATACCTAAGTACCTGAAGTACCATAATGACATTCTGCAGGTAGTTGACGTTCTAATGAAGCCCGACCCGCTTGAAGAAGGTACCATGTACCGTAATATAACTCTAGGATCTTCAATGTCTGACGCCGACAACAGACTATGGTGGAAGATTACCGAGAGATGTAAAGATCCCAATTACTTGGAGTTTCTAGAATCGATGCCGTTCGATGAATGCGGAGATGCATTAGCCTTTTACGTTTTTTGCGATAGGATGGTTCCGAACCTGCTCTTTTTCTCGATGGCTAGCGGGGGTATTTTGGGTCTCTACGCCATGTATTTCATGGTTTTGAATGATCTTATCCGTGACTTTGCCGTCGAAGACATAGAACAAGCTTGGATCGAAGAAAACGAGATGCCCAATATCAGAAGATTTTACAATCTCAGTTTGATGGTCTATATTTGCAGGGAAGTAGAAAACTGGGAGATGGAAGAATGGTCGTACGCTAGGTTGCTTTGTGTTTGTCGTTCGAAAGAGTTGTTTATGAGACTAGGACTGCGCAAATATTATACGATGTACGAATACGTCTGACGGAGCCATCAGCTGGGAGTAAGACATGATGTTCCGAAATTATCCGTTTGTTACTTTTTCTTTTAATAAATAAGGATACATTGTGAATATCCGTGTATTCAATCTCAGACCACTGTACGAGCACTGTAAATTAAGTGAAAAGGTCTGCAACGTAGCGTTGGACTTGGAGGGGAGACAGGGGAACGTGTGATCCGCCTTCAGTACAAGTTTGAATTCGCTCGAGCCAAATTACAGTAATGGACAATTATTATATTATATTTACCTAAATACCTTTAGAAAACTAATTCATACTTCATTGCTCCATAAACAAATGCGTTATTAGTAGAAAAACTAAATTCCTTGTTTTTACATTATCTGCAGTGAACACAATAAAAGTCTGTTTTTATGAGGGACAAAAATATGTAGACAACTTCTTTTCAACGTTAGTTTAGTACAGTTTCGTGTCAGAAGAGGATTAGTTTGTGTTCATCAAGTATTGTGGAATAAGTTGAGTGAAATTTCTTTCGATGTGAAAACTAAGATCATACAAAGATGGTCAACGTCAAGTCGAGATTGCCAAAAATTTGAAGCTGAAGCGTAAAGTAGGTATTTTGGAAGCCTCTAAGAGATGTGGTCGGCCTAGAAAACTAAATGCTAGATCAGTTAGACTGATAAAAGTAATTTCGTCCAAAGATCCCCAAGACAAATAAAAGCCGAAATCAAGACAAAAGGAATTCTCAGTGTGTCAACGAAAACTATAAGTAGAAGATTAAATGATTTGAAGTTATTTGCACGTCGCCCCAGTAAGAAGCCGCTAATCTCGAGGAAAAACCGTAAGGACCGATTTGCACGGTTGCATCTTGATTGGGGAGCATCTGTGACTGGAAGAGGGTATGTTTCAGTGACGAATCCAAGTTAAATATGTTTGGATCAGATTGCGTTCACGTTAGACGTCCTAGTAGACAAAGATTAAACCCCAAGTACACTTTGCCCACTGTCAAACATGGAGGCGGGTCTGTTATGGTTTGGGGGTGCTTTTCGGGGTTTAGATAGATAGATGGCATTATGGATAAGTTTGTATACACAGACATACTAAAGCATGCCATGTTACCCTATATGGAAGACAATATGCCCTGAAGATCAATCTTCCAGCAAGATAATGACCCGAAGCACACTTCAAATCTTGCAAAGAAATTCTTTCTGGATGAAAAAATACCAGTTCTCGAATGGCCTTCACAGTCTCCCGATATAAACCCCATTGAAAATCTATGGGAATACTTAGATAAGCAAATACGAGATAAAAATTATTCAAACAAGGATGAACTTTTTGCCGCTTTAGAGCAAAAGTGGAGACAGATTGATGAATCATATATCAAGAAACTTCTACAATCTATGCCGAGACGATGCTAGGCGGTGATTGATAATAATGGTTATGCTACAAGATATTAACACAAATATGGTTGGTTTCTATAATTCAATGAACTTTGCTTCTTTTTTCTATAATTGTTTTGCTTTGTCTATATATTTTTGTCCTTCATTGTTCCATTTTTTTATTGAAGGGAATTTATTTATGTATAAGTGAGTATTATGCTATAACGAATTATGTATACAGGGTGGTGTATTAATAAAACAAGTTAAAAAAGAAATACAGCACAATATTAATTTGTCTCTATACTTTTGTCGATTACTGTATTTTTAACTGCACAACGTTCTAATAAGCGTAATAATAATAATGCGTTTAATAATCCATACACAGGCATTACCTTCTATGGGGTTTTATGTGTATTTACTTTATAGGTTCATGTAAATACATATCATTTTTATAATAAACTTTTTAATGTACAATATTTTAAGCGGAACCGGGTTCCGAATTTTACACCTAAAAGCACTCGATTACTTCCAGACTCCACAAAGAACTGATGACCTTGATGATGACGCCAGACAAGAGCATATCCGCGTTCCCCGAAGGCGAGAACCTCTTCAAATGGATCGGCACCATTGCGGGCCCCAAAGACACCGTTTATGAAACCCTGAAGTTCAAACTTAGCTTTCAATTCCCGAATTCCTACCCTTACTCAGCGCCTCTAGTCAAATTCCTAACGCCTTGTTTTCACCCGAACGTTGACACTAGCGGTAATATATGCCTAGACATACTCAAGGACAAATGGTCTGCCCTGTACGACGTTAGAACGATTTTGTTAAGTATCCAAGCGTTGTTGGGCGAGCCTAACATAGATAGTCCGCTCAATGCTTTAGCCGCTGAAAAATGGCAGGTGCAAGACGAGTATAAAAAATACGTGTTAGAAACGTACAAAGACGCCTAAGTTTTTGATTATTTTTTTTTAGCGTTGATCAACATATTCTACTTGAAGATACCCAACCATATTCCCGCATCGAAAAAGAGGTCTGAATGATCATATCGCCCTCTATGAAACAGTAGCAGAGCCAACTTGCATCGTGCGCTTGACGTTGAACTGTTTATAAACAGGAGTTCCTAAACTCGCTAGACTTGAAGTTTTAACTTTCTGAAAATTACGCGTTTGTTGTCACATATTAGCTTTTTCCGCGTGCACACAAAAGTAAGGTTAGCTACAACCTCTTTTCGTCTGTTAACAAGATGATCTGCAGTTTGGTCTTCAAATATGTGAAAAATAACACACTTTTAGGTTAGGTTATGCTTTACGCGCCGTAACGTTAGCAACTTTTCAAATTGACTTTAACTGACAGTGGCAGCGTTACAGTAGCAATACGACGAGTTTATAAATCAATCTTTTTGAAGGTAGATTTCTGAAATCATTTTTGCGTTCTGCTGCTACTGTCTCATAGATGGCGCTAGGATATTTCGGGTCTCTTTTTGGGCTTTGGAATGACTGGATATTTTTCAGGTAAAAATACGTTATTGAATGATTTTAGTGAATTTATAATGAATTGCAATTATTTAGAATGTTTTTATAGACTGATGTTGAGTGTGTCATTATGATACTCAGTTTGTGGTCTGAGGCCAATCGATAGAGGTTGTATTTTGGCAAACATATTTTTAGAAAGCCATTCATGCTGTTATGCTACGATTCATTTAAGCATTCAATTTTATCGATGTACATAGATAGCATTCTTGGCAACTGGTTTTTAAAGATCATTTGATTTGACCTTGAGCCGTATCTTGAAGGTTATTTCTAGGTCAGCTTTTGTGGTTTGACAGGAAACTTTCGCTTTCTATACCTACAACCGAAACGGAAAGTTCTTCGTCCGAATCTGTACCAAAATCTAAGATCAATGCTCCTCTAAAGATCAAATCAAATTCCTAAGAGCTTAACAGGATTATTGATGGAAAAAAATCTTATTTTGTAACGCATGTAACAAGGATGCCAATGGTGCAATCAACCTTCAACCTCATTTTCAGACATTTCAATGTCAACTCATTTTAACTGCAAATCCTCTCTTTGACACAAGGTTAAATCTAAGGTTAACATTGAAATCCTAAGCTTGATTTTTGGAGATTGATTCATGATATCGGAAATTTTAACATCCTGCACATAAATGTAGTGATTATAAACTGCCCAGTTTTGAAGTAATCCCCTATGCATATGTGGCTTTCTATGAATATCTTTGCTACAAGTATTTTTCTTTTATTATAAGCTTTTGATACAGGATGACATTTTTAGAATGAATGTAAAGAATTACAAAAATATCTTTCATTCTGTGAAACTTTGAGCAGTGAAATATCTTTGAAAGGCCACATTAATATCTATATATTGTTTTCCTGTATCAAATAGCAAGCAGTAAAATTATTATGGATTCCCAATATTTAGGTTGGGTGCATGCCTATATTTTTAAACTGAGTATTGAAAATTGTGATGGATAAAATTTAATGTAATGTATACTTATATATATTATACTGTGTGATCTTTCTTACTGTAAATGTTGAAATAAATTTATGCACTGGTATTATCCTTGTTTGTGAAAGCCACTCGAAATAAAATATTCTTCAATATAAACATGATTTTGTACTAGATTTGTCATGCTATGTTTGTTATAATGTACAGGGTACAAAGTTTCTTAACTTTTAAGTAATCGCATTTCCAAATATTTTATTGAAAAATTTGTAGAGGTTTTGCTGTATATGTGCCTTGATGAACATATTCTACCTGAAGATAGCTAACCTAAGACTATACATGGTGTCCCCCCGGACATACGTCTGAGACACCCTGTATAAAAAAAGTCCGATAAAAAAACGACATTCATATAATAGATTCATATAATCTCAGTACAATAAAAGAGCAACAACTCTGGATAATGATTCATCTTTAATGCAACAGTACTTCTGGTAAATACACCAACATATAATAGATCACCCATAAATGTCTTCAAATACAAAATTGTCAAGTACACTGACTTTTAAAGCAAACTGAAATACATGAAATACGTTCTAAACAAAGTTTGTATTGGGAGAAGTCACTATTTTGCTTATTTCTAGAGATAATGATTCCACCACATAACAGCAACGAGAAAGTTAAGATTCTATTAGACAGATGACCCCATAACGTTTTAAAAGTTACATCAAAATTATCAATCTCTTGACTGACATGATGGGATAGCCAAAAGGTCGCGCTTTTCCATGTATTGCAATAATGCTATATTCGCTCGCCCAAAAATTACCCGAGATTAAATGGGGTATTGAAATTTACTATTGCTAGATATAATTCTCTCATGGGACACCCTGTATATGTCACTGTGGATGTGATTTTCCACACTTAATTGAGAACCCGAATCCGTCAATAAATTTGTTTTTGAGTAAAAATTACCGATTTCGTGATCTTTTAAAAACCGTCCGAACATTGTGTTGGACCCTGTATATAGCTGCGATAAGTTCTCATTCGTGAATAGTTTTTGGATATGGTTCGCATGATGTGAAAGAGAAACTTAAGGCAGCGACCATCATGTTGAGCTACAGCGCCATCCCATACGTTATCCAAACTTCTTGTCTATAACAACCGCGCGCATGGCGCGTCGTCAATGCCGCGTCACAAATACCTCATGTTATTAGTTCCAGTTAAATAAATATTTGGCTTAAAAATTAAGTAAACAAAATGACTAGGACTTGACGATAATCAAAATAAAAAACAGAAGTATAGTCGTAGCGGCAAGCACAATAATCGCACACATTTTCCGATTTTTTCTCTGATAAGCGTCCGCCTTTTGCAGTTGCTTGAAACCTTCGTGGACCTGAATGGCACTCTGTTCGATGTTGTAGTCTATCCTGTCCAGGACCGTGCCCTGATCCACAACCATTTGGTTGAGGTCTTTGAAGATCTCGTTGAGGTCCAAGATGGATTTCATTACTGCGTTCACCTCGCGTTCGCGCTCCTGCGCGAATTTTGTGTTCTCTTCTTCTAGCATCAGCAGTTGTTGCTGAGACACCTGGAAACCGAACAGTCGGATGTTTTGCAAAACTTGTCCTTCAGGATATGAAATTTAATTTTTTTTATGGACATAGAGCAGCTCATTATTTTGAAGTTATTCTGGCATAAGAAACGTGTACTGGAGCAAAATTTGTACAGCCAAACATGCTGCTTTCATCCATCTCAACCAACGAATTTAGACTAATATTGTACACTTGACTTAGGTCGATTTTTTGACTGTTCTGTCATTAAATTTGTTTTTTACTGTTATTGTTTAAAAGTGCAAGTGTTTGCAGATAATTGTTAGACGGTTTCAAGTCATGGTACTTCTTACATAATTTGCAAAGAGCAGCACAAGGCTAATGAAGGTAGATGTTTCCACCAAGTATTAATATTATATAGATACAACACTTGCAAAGGCAATGTCAAGAAGTTTGGCTACTCCTGATCAGACAGCTAACCATGGAAAACTGTTTCAAGCTTTTTGGTATACCATCAGAGTAATTTCAAATATTTTTTACAAAAACCCTTGTAAATTTTGAGAATACTAAGTTTCTCATTGTAAACATTTTGTTTGATATCTACTATGTAACTAAAACACAAGGAATGAAAGCTTGAAGGACCTATAATAGACATTTTTTGCTTTACAAATTTTTCTACTACAGATTAGAAACGCATTGAATTTCCAGCAATTACTCATTTAGCAGTTATTCCCCCATTATTTCCACCGCCATCTACCATATGACGCTGACGTCTGTCGATAAGTCATATATGAGAGGCGCTTGCCTGCGGCGTTGCCGGATTGGGCTCCGTATTTAGGGAAAAATATGAAAAGTGGAAAATTTATATTAATGAAACACAAAAACAAACAACAGTAGTAAAATTGAAAGTGATTCTTACTAAGTATAAAACAAAAAATAACAAACAGCAGTAAAATGAAAAGCAATTCTAAGTGATTATCCAAGACAAAAAATTAAAACAGTAGTAAAACTAAAACAGTTCCATTTAATTCGTTTTGCTACTGTTTTTACTTTTTGTTTTGTGTTGTCACTTGCTTTTTATTCAACATCGAATTGTTTTTTGTTTGTTTTACTACTGTTTTTATTTTTTGTTTTTTATAATTATTTATAATTTATCATTTTTTAGCTTACTACTGTTATTTTTTGATTTATACTTATTAGGAATCGCCTTTTATTTTGCTAATGTTTCAGTTTTTCTTTTTTGTATGTATGTATGTATAATTTTCAACTTTTCATTTTTTTCCCTAAATGCGAAGCCCAATCCGGCAACATCGCAGGCAAGCGCCTATCATATATGACATATGCACGGTCATCTAGGGTCATATGGCAGATAGATGGCTGTGGAAATAATGATGGAAACAGCTAAAAATACAATGTTTCAGGAAATTTTTTTCATGAAAAGCGTGCTTCATCCACACTTTTTTTGTTTCTAAATAATCTATCAGACTACTCTCTAAAAGTTTTAAGAGAAAAAGCAGTAAAATCGGAAGTTCTACAAGACGCAACAGCACCGCTAGGAATATTACAGTAATCATCATTTACCTTAGAAGTTAAAAAATAATTATCAATCTCCTCAGTTTCTTGGCTGTACATATCATCCATCTCTATATTCTTGTCAAAATACATCTTTGACCTATCCTCCCTAGATTGTATCTGCCGCAAATAACTATTTTGTGTCGATCTGAAGAGCGTTGATAAATCCTGCATAGTTTGAGCTAAGGAATGATAAGCATTCACAGTAAGTCTCCTTTCTTTAGGCAGGCCTTCTGAGGCATGACTTTTTATTGTTTGGATTAACCTATGGCATTCATTAAACATCCTAGAGAGAAATCAAGAATTAACAAGTGTAAAACAGAAAGTGTCAAGTAATAAAGGGGTAAAGTAGCATAGGTGCTCACTTTGAAAGTAAAGAGTTGGGGAAACAAATTTGTCTGTGTCTGAAAAATCCCAAATATTGTACAAAAACAATGGTAAATATGCAATGCCTAGTTGCCATAGCTACATTATTTTATAACACACCAGCATTCAATCTCTACACGTATTGGCCATCAGGTCATAAATGCCTTGGCAGGAAGCAACAAGTAAATGGTAGTCGCAATTGAGTGTTCTTGTTTCCTTTTTTAAACAATATTTGGGTGGTCAAAGGATATCACGTTTTGCTCTACCTAGTAATCTCATGGGTACAATTTTCTATCGCCACTTCATCATCATCAGTCTCATCAAACGTAGATCTATGCAAATGCTTGGAATGTAATAGTTTCAAATCGTTAATTTTGGCCTTTAATTTTGGAATGATCATTTGAGCCTTCTCTAAGTAGTCTATCCATATTGGCGGCATGCGTTGCTCATTTCTATCTAATGTTCCATCTTCTACGTCGTTCAGGGAAACCAGGTGCATACGTTCAGAGGCATCCTGAAAGATTTAAATTGTTAATGAAGTACCAGGAACATATTCAACAAAGTACCAACCTGGTCTGGATAGATATGTCTACTACGAATGGCATTGTTCCGCATCAGTAAGAATACGTCCGTTAGGCTTCTTGAAGCCATTTATGAGGTTTAATGCCGATATTTCGGCTGTTGTTTGGAACAAATGTCCTTTTAAAGTTTTTCTATAATAAGGTGCAAAATCAAAACAAACGGGTTAGGATCTGTGATTGCCATCAACTGACAGCTACGACATACGTATCTAATTGACAAGAAAGGAAAGATCGAACACGAAGACACGTATTCTTATCGGCCATGTTGCTTCTCTCATGAAAATGTTCATAACTATATCAGCGGTACTTTCCAGTGCCTCGTTTGAAGCAGCTCTGGATTCGTCTATTTGATTACGTGATTTGAATGATTAATTTTGAACCAACAACGGTAAAAGTTGTTTTGAACGGCCATCATCATCATCAAGATTAGATGTTTTCCTGTGTAAAAGTTATCATAAGCTTTTACTTCGATTTGGCTCAACTTAGTCCTATTTTACGAGCATCCATCACATTTTGACGTCTACTGAGGTAAACAGCTGGTCAATAAGTGACACTTTTGTAATAATCTGTAACGTTGCTTTTTGTATGCTAGTGAACTTTTATAAATAAAAGAGTTGTTGGAAAAATGAATCTGTAGCGTACAAGAAAACAAAACAAAATACCTGAGCTGATGTTGACGGATCCGCCAGAATTGTATCCTTTGCGATATGTGGAATTTTGAAATATTATTAGATAATTAGCTGTCATTCCACCGAAGTAGATATCCGTGAAAAAGACAATGGTAGAATCGATACTCATTTCATGTTTAACGCCAATTCGTCGTTCTTTTAGTATCGAGCATCGATTTATAGGTATAAAGATGGCGGACTAAAACACTCGTCTCTTTGGCAGTGGGGAGCTTGCGTTCCACTAAGAGACGATGTAATCGCAGACATGCGTTATTTGCGGTTTGTGAGGGCATCACGGAACTAAAAATTATGCGCTATGAGCTAACTTCATTCTATTTTTTTGTTTTTCGATAATGCGGGTCCCACACGATGCTTCCAACGTTCGACACCCTACAATTGGCAACTGTGTCTCCTACACGATGGGATGAACTTTCTAGTCTCGGACGTTCGACACTCGGTGGTGCCGACGTCTATTATCGGTGTTAGTGCCGCGCTTGAACCTTTACAACGGAAGGAAAAATATACAAAATAAACGATGAAACAATTTTTACTGGCGCCGAAAAGTAATTTCAGATCTGTACTCAGCGACCAAAACTGAAGTCTGTCAGAAGCCTCAAAAATGTCGAAAAACGAAGTTTGACCGTTTGAAGCAGAAGCCCCCCAATGGGCGCCCATGATCGTGTGTTTGACCATTCCAGAACATTGTTTTCGTTGTTCAATTTGAGGCAAAATTGTAAGGGCAAATTCAAAATTGAGACGTAGTAGTGGCAGAAAAAGAAGTTATTTTAATCAAATCCAAGCGACTAACCAAAATTTCTGTGTTATGTGCCGCGGTTATAATATGGTTCAAGATGACACACGGGTTGATGACGTCGTTACACGAACGCGTTTGTTTTAACCGCGGTTTTGTTGCAAGTTGTTTATTTTAGAAAAGCGCGTATATAATCTCTGATTATTTTTATTATCACTTAATAATCGGTGATTTTTCGTCTACAACTGTATATGGAAAGTTTAAATAAGAAACCTTTCATAATATTCATGGGAGAAATGTTTTTTTCAGATTTTTTTTTTAATGATGGAACCATGGCTTTGTAGCTATGATAACTTTCAATTCTCTAAATTTTTCCGCATGTCGTAGAAAACATTTATTGATTCAGCAGAAATGATGAAAAAAGAAATTCGCAAAACCGTATACAGGTGGATATCATCTAGTGAGTTTATATGGCCATATTTTAATATTCTTGTGGTATATGACTACACAGGATACTTTGTTAAGCATAGGAACTAAATTTAAAGTGTCTCCAACAACCGTAATGAGTATAACTAATAAGGTGCTCCACTTTATGGTAAAACTGAAGTCAGCCTGTATCAATTTTATCAATTATATAAATATATTTATTAACTATTTGATCAAAAATTACATGATCATTAATAGAAGTACGATTTTCATTTTACTCTACTACTCATTAGTATACGTCTTATACGCAGAGATATTAGGCATTCATTTTGAGGAAGCTAAAAGTGGACAGCTGAAGGATTAGAACTTGAATCCATCTTATAACTCGTCGATCATGTGGAATTACACAGATTTGGAAGTACATCTAATTCCCACTTTGGAGACACTTGTAACCCACGTCACAACACTGAAACACCACTTAAAGACAACCGAGAACCCTATAGTGAACACCACTATTAAAAAAAATATCTAAACTAAATAGAGCTCTGCACGGAGCTGTGAACGCATGGACATTTCGCTGCGCCGACGGTTGCCGAGAGACTGAAGTGTGCGAGAGTGCGAGTGCTGTACCTCGCTGCGGCGATACGTTACGGCCGGGTAGTACAGCTACGCTCCTTTCCAGCTCCCACTCCGTGGGTCTGCTCCCGAAGCGACTCGATGTTTACGTTGACCGGTAATCAAAAAGTAACGTTCCGCCGCATGGACGCCAGGCGACGCAAAATGTAAATAACAGCTTTTGTTTAGTTTTTTTGGCAAACATTGCTACGCCTCAAATTTTATATATCGCCATTCGTATCCCTCAATATTTTATTCAAAGCTTCTTTATTTTTATAACATTCTAGCAGAGGTAGCAAAAATGTCCGATGAGCTGGTAACGCCGCAATCTAGGTGACAAGATCAACTGTCAAAACGTATGTCTATCCCGGGGTAGCGACGGAGTCATTTAGTACGTCAAAGCGGCAGTTTTCCAATCTTCATTTGCGGTGTCTAACGATTTCGATTCGAGAAAAAGTACGCTACGGATAATCTTCGAGAATCTAGTAGATAGTAGAATATATTTCAATAGTTGTCTTTCGTGGCCATGTTATCTTTACTCGGGCATTTGCACATAATAATGCAATAGCAGTAAGCTCAAAGCTGTAGGGTCTATAAAACTTATACCGACACGCAATCTCTTGGATAATTATTCATATTTCATCAAAATGAATGGAACATCTCCAAGTGTATCCTTTGAAGACTTTGAAAACATCTGTAGGGCTTGTTTGAAACAGGGCATCTTAAAACCTTACAAAAGTACGGACCACGTAATGTTATACCAACGTTTAATTGATTCAAAGGTACCAAATTATCTTGCATATTTACAAACAGAATTTTAATTTGTACTTGCTGCAGGAATCACAAGATAAGTTACATTTTATTTTATGTGAATATTGTTGGAATAAGCTGGAAGATATATTTGTCTTTGCAACAGCCTGCATGAAAAGTGAAAAATATCTGAGAAGCATTTGGTTGGAAAGACAGGAGCCACAGAATCAGAATTCCTTAAGACAGATAGTGAAAGAGGAAGGATCACCCTTGCCTTCTCCTACGTATAGCGGTAAACAAGCTCCTTTTTTTTCCATATTTCTCTTAGTTATTGTCATTTTATCAATAAAAATTTGCATGAAACCGATGTAAAGATCTTAGCCTTGTTTGGATTCTATAGAGAACTATCCCAAAGCTGTTTTGTAACTGCTAGTAGCCAATTGCGAGGTAAGGCTCCCCATTATCATGTCTTGCTCGAAACATATTGTAGTTTTTTTTAATTAGATTGTATACCTTGTACACAAATCCATTGTCTCTGTATTTTAGATGATGGTGATGAATCTCTTGAGGAATCTTCCCCTAAAAGTAGCTGCTCTAGTACCCCAAAAAAAATATACCATTCCAGAAAGGCTCAACCCTCCAGTTGTGAAGCCTGCCAAGCCAGCTTCAAAACAAAAAAGTTGCTATTAAATCATCAACTAAAAAGCCTGAATTGCAAAATAAAAAATCACAAATGCACAATATGCAGCAAAGCCTTTTTTACGAAATTTAGACTTATGACTCATGCAAAAATGCATACATCTGATACACCATTTGAGTGCAAAGATTGCTTTAAGTTATTTAAGTATCAGTCTAGTTTAAAAAGGCACGTGGGGAGTGTGCACAAAGGGTTGAAGCCGTTCAAGTGTGAAATTTGTGGAAAAGGTGAGAGATGCTTTTATTTTTTTTATTTCTAATGATGTCAAACAATACTTAGGTATCACTTTTTTTTTATTTCTATACACCAAAAGTTTCTGACCCCCTTCTATTTCAGAAAATACTACTCAAACAATAAAGACAAAAGTTTTATGGTTTTGGGATAACAATTTAAATACTTTGAAAATGACCCAAAGTAATTTAGAGGTTGTTTTGAGAATTTTAAATATATTTTGACCTCATCAGTAGGTAGATGGAAAACTGATGTTCTGAAAGGACTTTGATCATAACTTCCAAGGTCACATACAAATATAAGCTTTTCAAGTTAGTCCTTAAAGGACCTTGAAGGTCATTTACAAGGACATGGTCAAGGACACCATTAGGTTTTTCAAAATCCTACAACTTTTGACTATATTTTTCATTGCATGGTACTTTCTGAGATACTTTTTGAAAACCCTGTGTAATGTCCTGCACTTATCAAACATTTTATAACCTTTATGACACCCAATACCTAGTGTGAGAGTGATAAATTTGAAGAGTCTTCTGCATGTGGAGAAAATGAGTCACAAATCGATGAAGCATAAGCAAATATAAAAAAGAACATATATTTAAGAAAAACGGCTATTTACTCATTCCATAAAAATCTGTCAGTTCAATGCTAATTCCCCTCACAATAGGATCATGCACTAGAAAAAAGTAATTTTTCTTTCAGATTTTTACACTCAAAATGTGAAAGATGACCATGAAAGTATCCAAAGAGGTGTGCGTCAATATGATTGCTATATCTGCAACAGCAAATTCTCATCATACTCCGAGCATTTTTGCCATGAAGCTATGCATAAAGTACAGAGTGATAAAACATCAACTAAGCATTTCAAACTGATTGGAACACAAACACTGGCAGTCAAAAAGAAAATTCGTGTGCAGAACTTGTGGCAAATCCTTCAATAAAAAAGCCCAGCTTAAAGAGCATGTGAGAATACACCAAGGTTTGAAACCCCTTGAGTGCAAAACATGCAAAAAGTCGTTCAGACATCTCAGCACTTTGAAAATTCATGCAAAGATAAGCAGTGGCCTGAAGCCACATAAGTGTAACGTTTGCTCTAAAAGCTTTGTGCAGAGTGAGCATTTGAAACAACATATGAGGATTCACTCTGGAGAGAAACCTTACAAATGTTCATTTTGTGAAAAAACGTTTACTATGAAATGTAATTATGAGGTTACATACAGGAGAAACGCCCTATAAATGTGTCGTGTGTGGAAAAGGATTTTATAATTCTAGCGGCTTGAAAAGGCATCAAAACACTCACAAGAAGACAGGATTGATATCAAAATGAATTTAGAGAAGCTAAGAATTGTCTTTCGACACTTTCAATTGATTCTGGATTACGGTAATAGATGGCAATTACAAGTACTGTTACAAATGGAAAAGTCTGGTCAATTGCCATTTATACTCAACCATGTCTTCTTGTTTGTTTAAAATTTATAGAGCATTAATACTACAATTTATAATTATTCGTTCACAAGTTTTTTAAGTCAATTTTCTGTACTTTTATATTGATAAAGTGATTTTTTAATTGCACCTTAAATTTTAAATTCAAATACGCCCTTTGAAATACAGATATGTTATGTTTCTATTACAATCGTGCAGATAGTTGTATTTCCAGTTTTAGTTTTTTGACTTCTATTTACTAAATAATTTTGTAAAATCGTTTAAAACCAAAGTGATGTGATTTCGTCATCAATTTTCCCTTTTGAAATCTAAAAATACTGTACATTCTATCTCATCTACATAGTCGTGCCATAAGTTCTGTCCCATGATAATCTCATGATAAAAATGAAACAAGATAAGATATATTTATATGAAAGATATTATTTATTCGACAACATTTTTAGAATTCATAATCAAACAGTTTTATTCAAAATGTCCCCCCTTGGCCTTCACACACTGCTTCAATCTCGCGGGCCACTCATCTATCACTGCACGCACAGCTTCCAAAGGAATAGCTGCCGCTGATCGGATCAAATCCGCTTTCAGGGACTCGATATTACGGTGGGCTTTGGAGCAGGCCAACTGCTCTAGCAGGTCCCACAACTTGTAGTCTAAAGGATTGAGGTCCGGACTCCCTGAGGGCCAATCTTCCGCAGCAATGAACTCTGGCACATTGCTTTCCAGCCAGCGCTGCGTACTCTTAGCCTTGTGAGCGGGGGCGGAATCCTGCTGGTAGACCCAGTGTTGGTTGGCAAACAATGTACCACTTAAAGGCTTGACGATAGGATCCAGTATGTCGCTCTGATAGTTTGCCGCTTTTGTTTTCACGCCCTGTTTACAGAAATGGAGCTGAGTGACCCCTTCGAAGGACACCCTCCACCAAACCATGACTGACGCAGGGTGGTGGCCTCTCTCAACTCTCGGAATGATCTCCGAAGCTTCCTGTGAACTCCTTGCATACACTTTGTCATTTTGTCGGTTGAATTTTTCTTCTATGGTGAAGATTTTCTCATCCGTGAACAAAATCTTTCGGAATCCCCCAGCTGCGTACCTCTCCAAGAGCTTCTTGGATCTTGTCGCCCTGATGTGTCGCAAGGTGGCCGTAAGTCGCTGGCTCGTACGTCTCCGGTAAGCCCCTAGCCCTAGGTCTTGTTTAATGATGCGCGACATCGTCCGGACAGGAATCTTCATTTCCCTGGATAGGATCTTCTGCTTCCGGAGTGGATTCCTTTGAATCCTGGCTTTTACGGCTTTGATGGCTGCTGGAGTCCTTACTTGACGAGGTCTTCCGCTTCTTGGCCTGTCATCAACAGAGGACGTCTCATTGTACCGCTGAATGGTCCTAGACACAAATTTACGCGATATTTGAAGGCCGCGTAAGAGTTCAAAAATCTGACTAGCACTGTGATTACACTTATGTAAAGCTATCACTGCAATACGGTTCTCTGCCTTGCCCCACTCCATCGTTATGCTTCGAGAGATCAATACAAACTGAGGTATATGTAATTACCCGAAAAGCGCTTAATCAACTGACACCACAATGTAAACAATCGGACAAGTATTAACAGGTCTACACTTGTTTGAAAACGAGGGACAGAACTTATGGCATGACTACGTATACTTTTTCTCCAGTCTTCCACCACCATTTGGATTGCTCTTTCTGTAGAATACTTTTGTCTATATCCAGCTTGAAATTTTGTCAATGAATTCAATTTGTTCGTATATTATCCATTCGTACGGCTTCTTGACAAAACGTATTTTTTTCAGCGTTCGCCACGTCGCAACGTCTCACCGAACATACCCACATTCACACAGGAGAACGACCGTACTCCTGCACATATTGCGGGCTCACATTCAAAAAACACTCCACGAAACACGCTCACGAAATCAGACACCGCGTGAGGAACGGCGAAGTGCCTCCATGTAGCGGACCGACCAAAAAGTACCCGAGGAAACCGCCCGAGGATCCCGCAGAGCTGGAATGCGCGACGTGTTTGAAAACGTTCACTACGAAACAGGCGGTCAAGTTGCATCAGAGGATACATCTAGGGGAAAAGTCCTTTTTGTGTAATGTCTGTGGAAAGGGGTTCTTGAGGTGGGTGCAAGCATTCATCACATATTTCATTAAATATACTCATGCTATAAAAGAAATCGTTTACAATCGTTATGACACAAAAAGAAAAAATCATCATATGGCATGAAAGCAACACTTATCGCCATAATCTGTGGATGACATGAATATTCTGAGAAAGTTTGTGGCTTTTCCATTGGCGCTCATGTCCATCGAAATACGACAGCACAAAGTGCTATCTATTTTCAGAATCGACCACTGCGAGAGTGGAAACAGCAGATTCTGGTAACATATGGTACTTTGTACTGCCTTATTTTGATAGACCTGATATTGTGGATAGAGCTATCATTTGTTATCCCATCTATACCTTGCGGTTGAGTTGCCAAAAAGCACGAAACAGCATTATTCTTCCTTACCTGTAAAACTAATTCGGACGTATGAGTTTTTAAATGTAAAACGACGATTTTAAATTGTTCTTCTAGAAAGAATCACCTGGAGGTCCATACACGTATCCATACTGGAGAACGTCCCTACGAGTGCGCTGCTTGTGGGAAGCGTTTTCGACAACCGGGCTGTTATCGAGACCACCTTTCAATGCACGAGGGCAAAAGAAAGCATCAGTGTGATGTGTGCAAGAAGAACTTTGTACAGATAGGGCATTTGCGGACGCATATGAAAACGCACACTGGGGAGAAGCCTTACAGGTGCTCTTTTTGTGATAAAGGTATGGGAAGCTTACATCTTGCTGATTGGATATCAGGACTGTTTCAATTAGATACCATTCTTCTGATAAACAAATGTTCTGCCAACCTTCAAATAAGGTTTTGCCCTTTTTGGCTGCAGAATTTTGTATCGATTCAACAGGTCTTTGTAAACAAACAAAATTAAAATTAGTTTCAATATTACTGTGTATTGGATTGTAGCAGAATCACATATTTACACCTTGCATATTGTATAAACCACCGGTATAAACGCATTTTTCTTTTTAGCTTTTGCTCATAATGGAAACTTGAAAGTGCACATCAGGATCCATACAGGTGAAAGAAGCTATCAATGTGATATATGTAGTTTAGGTTTTTACGATTCGAATGGTCTGAAAAAACATAAGAAAATACATGATGTTGTGAGTTAGAAAAAACGCAAATAAAAGTATATTTTTCTATACCTTATTTTACTTAAAACCCTACTCCTAAGGCCTACCAGCCAGTGGGTCAGTTTTTGTGTCTGAAATATGTTCTTTATTAATCCAAAAACACCAAAACATACAAATTCGCGTAAAAATGTCATTATAAACTGAGTTCACATATATATTTCTGGCAAAATTAATTACGTTTTTATCCTGTTTTTGAGGAACATATTTCAAACAAAAATTGGCGTATAACTGTGCAGAATTTTGCCTCTTGCGTAAAAAAAATTATCGGACTAGAATGTAGAATTAAGTGCGAAAGGTGTTTGACAATACAATATAAACAAAATTAGTATTTTCCAAGAAGACATTTTTGAACCATTCACGAAAACAATCGAAACATCTGATCTGAAACAAATATTTTGTATTTGTAAAATTTTATAATATATACAAGATATTAGTATCTACAATCATGGATCAAAGGGCTTCCAGAAAATATGGAAATCTTTCCAAACAAAAAATGAACTGAATATGGCATTATTTGTTGAGTCCATGCTTTGAATGATAATTATAAATATTTCATCCAGCTTATATTTTTGTGATAAATATTTTCCAAAATAATCACTCGAATTTTTTTTTTTTACTTTCATCACAGCATTCTATTTTTAAGTTGTACTAGGCATCAAATTTATCAATTTGTTGCTATTTTCAACCAGCTCACTGATTGAAACTCTCCCCCTCTGTCTGATGAACTTTGCAACTGCCTCCATTTCTTCAGGACAAACGTATATAAATTTCCCTCTGTCATCTATAACTCCAGTCAGTATATCATCTTTCTGCAGGTCTTTTATCCTGTCAATAGCAGCTTGTGTCTTCAACTTGAAGTGAGCTGCCAAGTCTTCTATAACTACCACTTTGTTATTTTTTATGTATTCAACGAATTTTTGAAGAAGGTTCTGTTCTTCTTCTTGCTCTCCTTCTTCATAGCCTTCTTCTTCTATGGAAAATGCTTCTTTCATCTTCAGGTATTCTTCATATTCCTTGCGCTCTTGCTCCTCCTGAAACAGAAGAGAAGGAAGAATTATGGCTCATATTCCAGGCGTGGTTCAACAGATGTCCAGCCATTTCTTTGCTGATAGCCAAGAAGATATTATCTTAAATATATAATTGCAATTTTTTCCACAACTGGAAGTTATTAGGATTTTTCTTACTAATGTAAGAAAAATGGACCTGTCTTTATTTTAAAAAAGATCTGCTTTAAAAAATAGACTAGGTTCTAGATATACCTTAGCTTTCTTTTCAGCTTCTTCCCTCATCTTCTCTTCTAGCTTCTCCTTCTCGTCTGCCTGCCTTCTCTCATTCTCAGCCAATTCTTGCCTCTTTTTCTTCTCAGCCCTCAATTGCTCTTCAGCCTCTCTTGCTGCCTTTTTCTCTGCCTTGGCCTCCAACTTTGCCCTTTTCTTAGCCCCAATTTTTCCCTCTGCCACATCGACAGTATCATTATCAACATCCTGTTCTGCTTCTTCAGCATGAACTTCTTGCTGGTCAGCCACTTGAAAAGAAATTGTTTTTATTTGAAAGTGAAATACTTCGACACACAAACCTAAAAGGTCACTGAATAGATATAAAAAAGGCATTTACCATCTACAGCGACATTGACCCTCTGTCTAGCACCTCGATTCCTGAGCATTTGAGCCCTTCTAGGGGCCCCATCTCTCACCCTATTAGCAACTGGCCTTGGTCTTTCAGGAGCTGAAAAAAATTATCACAATGAAAAAGTATACCAGCCAAAATTGAGATATAAAAAGGTCTAATCCAGAGTGAAACATCAGACATTTTTTGGGAATAACATGATTCGGTTTCAACGACAGTGTTTAAGCAAAGATCAAACCACAACTTGATAGTAAAACACACAAAAATATTCTCAATAGGCCACAGAAATTCAATATGTTACATAAATATTGGAAAGTACCTTTTTCATTTTTGCCTAATTTTAAATATACAGCTAGGCAAATTATTACGAGACCTATAGCGGAAGCTAATGCTAACAATATCGTAATATCCATGTTCAGTATCAGCTCCAAAGATTCTGGATTTGTTTATGAATTGCTGACATGTTCTGATTATCAATAATCAAATCCAAGCGAATAACTAAAATTTCTGTGTTATGTGCCGCGGTTATAATATGGTTCAAGATGACACACGGGTTGATGACGTCAGTTACACGAATCGCTTGAACGCGTTGGTTTTAACCGCGGTTTTGTTGCAAGTTGTTTATTTTAGAAAAGCGCGTATATAATCTCTGATTATTTTTATTATCATTTAATAATTGGTGCTTTTTCGTCTACAACTGTATATGGAAAGTTTAAATAAGAAACCTTTGATAATATTCATGGGAGAAATGTTTTTTTCAGATTTTTGTTTTAATGATGGAACCATGGCTTTGTAGCTATGATAACTTTCAATTCTCTAAATTTTTCCGCATGTCAAAGAAAACATTTATTGATTCAGCAGAAATGATGAAAAAAGAAATTAGCAAAACCGTATACAGATGGATATCATCTAGTGAGTTTATATGGCCATATTTTAATATTCTTGTGGTATATGGCTACACAGGATACTTTGTTAAGCATAGGAACTACATTTAAAGTGTCCCCAACAACCGTAATGAGTATAACTAATAAGGTGCTCCACTTTATGGTAAAACTGAAGTCAGCCTGTATCATTTTTCTCAAAAATGAAGCTGAAGTACAATAACAATATCCAATACCCGGCAAAATTCTAACTTGTCACATTTCAAATAATAACCAGAAATGTAAAACTACTCTTGAGTTGGGTAAATACCACAATTTTGCGGTGATAACTATGACATATAACAGCTGATTCGTGACGTCACGGATCTTATAACCAAACTGATAACTACACTCGCTTGAACGGATTGGTAAATACCAACCCAAAATGGTAAATACCATTTCCATTTGGTTATCCGCTTGAATTTGATTAATGAAAATCAACATTTTTGACGTCTTTGTTCTTGTTGACGTTTGGCACATGGAAGAGGGGTGCGTTCCGCAACACGTTGAAACATAATTGTCACGTATGTCTTGATTGTTCGCTAGAAATATAATCAGAACTAAGGCAGCATTGCCAGACTAAAAAATTCTGTAGATCTGCGATTTTCTTAATGTTTGGTGATAAAAAATATGGAATTGAGGTTGTTTTGGGCCGGTAAATTATTGAACACAAAAGTGACTAATGCATGTTTAGCTATGATATTTTCCGTTACTCCAGAGGGAAACCGAGCAGTCATTAAAACAATTATTCTGAGTTGAATGGTATAATGAAAAGATAGATATGGCAACATTGATGGATTTAGTGATTTTTATTTTCCGACACTGGCAACCCTTGTCCAAAATACCAGCAAATGGCTAGGTCAATTTGAATTTATAAAAAAATTGATTTTAAATAAAATTTTAGGAACCCACCATGAAATAATAAAATAGTCTCACTTTATAACAGAATTTATTATTTTTAGACAGCTATACAAGATACAATTAGTATTTATTTTCTCCTCCTTCTATTTGCTTCATTTGGATTTTTCTTCATCCAATACTTGAACTCTTGTCCAGGCCTGATTCCTAACTGTGCAGATTTTGAGTTTATATCCCTCATCACAAATGGTGAATAACCGGCAATATAATCATCATCCAGAGGATTATTCTTCATCCTGGCCAATCTTGATGGCTTGTTATCAGGCATAGGTTGGTCTTCGACCAAAACAGGATTATTTGGGTGCTTACCACCCTTGATTTTTGGCAGGCTGAACTTCTTTCCTCTGCCACTCAAGGGACGTTTTGAGTTGATGTGGATCACCAATTTTCCATCTTCACCCAGCGATACTGCAACTTTCTTCAATGTATCATTGCCACACTTTGGACAGAACCTCTTGGTCATAACACTTGTTGTTTTGAAGCACGCATAACACCTTAAAATGTAGGTACGAAGGTGCTTGATCAGTCTACCGTCCAAAGCAGATACATTCAAGTTCATCTGCTTCAAAACATTCTGCATTGCAAAGTCTGTGGTCATACATGCTACAACAGCACGTTGCTCCTGCAAGAACAGTGAGTTTACTTGCATTTTTGCTTTTTTTACATTACTAGGAGTGATCCAGCCTCCTCCATCTTCATCATCATCATCTTCAGTATCTTCACTTGTAGAATATTCTTCTTCATTCTCTGTCACAGATACCAAAACATCATCAATGTTTGGTGTGCCTTCATCTTTCAAATCATCAGTTGTATCTACATGGTTTACTGTGTTTTCTACAGCATTTGCTTGATCTACAAGTTTTTCTTCAGACTCATTTTCTTCTTCACTTTCTGCAATTTCTACTTGGTCGACTCTGTCTATTGTAACACTCCATTGTACTTCATTCTCATCTTCCTGGTCTTCACATTCAGTTTTCTCATCATTTTCTACAGCTCCGTCAGTTGAAGCAGTTGTCTTACCAGGAATAAAGAACCCTGTTACATCTGGATTAATATTAGCAGTTTCATTTTTTGTAGTAACCACAGCTTTTTGCATTACAGGTTCTGTCCTTAAGCCCTCTGTACCTACATGTTCCTTGTGTAACTGATATGTGAGAGCCATAACTTTGATGTCTGTTGCCGAAAGACTGGGATAGTCCCCAGTTTTCTTGGCGAATTCCGTGATGATGTGTACATTTTCTGGATCCACGTCTTTAACCACCAAATTGTAAGGCAAAACGACTAGCCGTCGTAACTGTCTCTTGTTCTTGATTTCGTCCACTACTTCTGGGCAGGTTACAATGTTATTAGAGATGTCTTGCAAAGGTGCATTCTGAATGAACGCTATGGTATCCACCACAAGGTATTCAACAAGGTTCTCTTGAACCATTTTTCACTAAATATAAACCTATAAAGGGTTCGAAAAGCTTTGGATTGCTGTTTTGAGGATTTGTTTTTACACGTGTTTACTTCAAGAGACAGATAAAACGTCATATGTCAGGATGAGGGGTGCGTTCCGCATTGGTAATTGTATACAAAATTACGTAAGACTTTGATTAATTCTTTGGCGCCTGAGGGTTGGCAACACTGATACAAAAAATAAATGTCAAACCAACGTTGTCAGATTTTATTTTTTTTCTAATACTCTCAGATATTCCTTTGAATGTGATCAAAGTATACAGATACAAATAAAGCCGTTTCTTGTACCGGTTTTACATTGACGATAAATCGATGAGTTTGTCGTGAATTAAGTTCATCGCGAAATTTCAAAACAGGAACTTGACGTCAAATAAATCCACGAATTTCTTCACACAGTATTAGAATTTGTTCTGATTTTTACCAAGTTCGACGTCAAATTCCACTATGCCAACCTTGCTTTCCATTATATTGAACAACTTTTTATTTCAATTATAGAACTTTACAACCCAAAATGTTTCTAACAAGACTTTTGTCCATTCAATGTAAACAGTGCAAAACAATCACACTTGAATACGTCCATCTGAATAAGTTCGTGAAAAAATTGTTGATGCAAAACGGGTATTAAGCGGCAGTGAACATCTCAGCTACAGGATTTACGAGAGAGTCTCGGAAAGGGGTTGCTTCATTTAGAAAGATCTCACATTTACTGCTGAACTCAGTCACGACCACAGAGTGATTCTATTGCTGGTACATGTATACTTTACTTTTGTGAAATAGAAAAGGCCATAGAAGCTACTAATTTTTAATCAGCGAAAAATTGCAAAAGTTTCAATCACCACTTGCAAATCATTCTGCTCACAAAACGTATAACGGAAATCTGCTTTGAGGATGTGGCAACAGTGTGTCAAAAATGATAAACTGACAGATTTTGACACGTCTGTAGTTTTGTTGATGCGGTATTCATCATTCCACAAAAATAGTGATGCAAAGTTTCGTTACTTTTTAGGACTTGTAAGGACTCGTTACTTTCGAACTTTGGACTCGTTAGTTTAGTTACTATTTGGACATTTCGTTTAGAACCTTTCTATATATTATATCAAATTATTACTTTGGGATTGATCCAATTATTATTTTTTGTCTAATGCCTTGCCCATTTTTTGATATTTGATACGTAGAAGGTACTTATATTTTAAACTCGTCGTTGTGTGACGTCTGGTTCGTTGGCTGTACGCTGTAAATAGTATTTAACAAGTGGCATAACCAGATGGGGACCGTGGAGCAACCACTCTCCTCACTCTTTACTTTAGTTGAGTAGCGCCCCCTGCCCTAACAGTCTGGTTACTCCCCTGCCCTACTTAACAGTCTGGTTACTCCACTGTAAATGGTGTTCAACAAAATACTTATAATAATAAAACATACCTGAAACTAAGTTCCTTTTGCACCTAGGCAAATTTTCGTCTTCCACCCGCCGTTTTGCCCTTTCTCCTTCCAATGAAAGAGTCGGATGTTTAGTTTTCAAATGCTTCCTTAAATTGCTAATGTTTCCATTTTTATGCGAATAAATATTTTTACAAAGATTAGACTTTGCATTAGCTTCCGATATATTGGTGAAATGCATCCAAATAACACTTCTTTTTCGAGTTTGCGATTCTCCTGAACCGGACGCGGATGATTCCATATTTTTGTACAAATACTAATTATATTATTGCTCGAGCTTGTACGGCAACATCCAAACCAGTAACAACCCGCCAACCGGTAGCTCTCAAAGTCAAATGATAAGTGTACAGGTGTACACAAACATTGCAAACCTAAAGCTCCGCAGTCCGCAACTCGTTTGATAGAAGAGCATCTAAAGTTGCCTAAGCCTAACGATATTCACATCATTTCATTTCCACCCAGTTTACATCCAAGAACCAAGTCACTTGCTGCTGGCGCTGGCAGTACTGGCTACATTAAATCCCAGTAACGTTTGTATCTAAAGTAATGTATAGTGTAGTAACTAACAGTAATTAAAAAGTATACACAGAAAAAGACCGTATCGCATTCAAAGTAACGAATTCAAATAAAAAGTAACGAGTCTTTTCAAAAAGTAGGACTCGTTACATTTAGTTACTCATTTGTAACGATTATTTTGTAAGCGTTACTTAATTATTTTACATCACTACACAAAAATAGTATTTCTTAAAATTTTGTGGTATACGTGTTACTAATTGTACATATCTTCCTGTGAAACTCAAATATTATTGCGTTGAGCCGTTGACGTGTCAGAAGGATTTCACAATTAGTGCCCCAAAAATGAGTGCTGTCGAGCAGCCCTGCTATACCATTATAAACTTGCCAACAGATGCTGAACCTCATAATGAAATGCAACTCAAAACCGACCTAGGTATGCAAGGAACCTCGTCTGATTTTCAGAATATGTACCACCAAAAAATCATTCGAGAGCATTGCGTCTTATTTCCATTGAGCATATACTTTACTTGCCATTAAGTCTGGCTCCAAATGTTGATCCACAAAGTTTGGATAGAAGGAAAACAAACTTTAACATCTGATGAATGCTCTTGATGAAAACAACTTTCTAGCACCATATATAGCTCACACTAATGTTAACACAATTTTTAAAACAATTTTATAGCCGTATGTGCTGAATTTAATGTAAGAATTGCAATCCTCAATCCTTTTTTCAGAAAAGGGAGATGTGAAAGTAAAAATAAGAGCACTAGAAAAAATCATCCACATGATTCTGCAAGGTGAAAGATTACCAAATGGCATCTTATTCACAATCATCAGATATGTGTTGCCATTGCAAGACCACTTGGCTAAAAAGCTACTGCTTATTTTTTGGGAAATTGTCCCAAAAATGACTCCAGATGGAAAGTTGCTCCAGGAGATGATTCTGGTTTGTGATGCTTATCGCAAAGACTTGCAACATCCTAATGAATTTGTCAGGGGATCAACTCTAAGGTTTGCATTTTTTCCATAAACATTTTTTATACTAATAAATAAGCATCTATTGTGGTTTCAGGTTTTTGTGTAAATTGAGAGAGCCAGAACTTCTAGAACCAATAATGCCGTCAATAAGAGCTTGCCTAGAGCACAGACACAGCTATGTGAGAAGAAATGCTGTTCTAGCTATCTTCACCATCTACAAAAACTTTGAGTTCTTGATTCCAGACGCTCCTGAACTCATTTCAAACTTCCTTGAAGGAGAACAAGACATGTCTTGCAAAAGAAATGCTTTTCTGATGTTACTTCATGCTGACCAAGATACAGCTTTGTCTTATTTGGCTTCTTGCTTGGACCAAGTCGCATCTTTTGGAGATATTTTGCAACTTGTTATCGTTGAACTCATCTACAAGGTAATCCAAAGCATTTTTTGTTTAATACTAACTGCTTTTTTATTTTTTTTTCTTACAAAGATAATATTCTGTGAGGAAATTTAAATGAAGACATTTTAAAACGTATTTAGGATGGTATATAAATAAAGTTTAAATGTTGCCCAAGAATGGATCCCTGAGGTGCACCAAATAATCTCTCAGTCAATCAGATATCTTTTTCATTTGGTTACCCTATTTGTCAATTGTTCTCAAGATGAACAAAACAATTTTCTATTAGGTTTGTCACACAAATCCTGCAGAGAGGTCCAGGTTCATCAGATGCATCTACAACCTTCTAAACTCGAGCAGTCCTGCAGTAAGGTATGAAGCAGCCGGAACCTTGGTCACTCTTTCCAGCGCCCCAACTGCTATTAAGGCCGCAGCCAGTTGTTATATTGAGCTGATTGTGAAAGAGAGTGATAATAATGTCAAGCTTATCGTCTTGGACAGACTCATTGCCTTGAAGGATCATCCCAGTCATGAAAGAGTGCTACAGGTATAAAAAAAAACTTATTGAAGCTTTTTAATACCCCATTTTATCAAAAACTTCTTGTGTAGGATCTAGTGATGGATATTCTGAGGGTTCTTGCAAGCCCTGACCTAGAAGTCAGAAAGAAAACCCTGAATCTAGCCATGGAACTGGTCTCATCAAGGAACATTGAAGAGATGGTGCTGGTCCTGAAAAAGGAAGTGTCAAAAACGTTAGATTCAGAACAGGAGGACACAGGAAAATACAGGCAGTTGCTTGTCAGAACTCTGCATTCTTGCTGTATCAAGTTCCCAGACGTTGCTGCCACTGTTATTCCAGTTTTGATGGAGTTTTTGTCAGATACCAATGAGTTAGCTGCCACTGACGTACTGGTTTTCATCAGAGAGGCCATTCAGAAGTTTGACAACCTACAGCCATTGATCATAGAGGTAAATTTTGTCAGTTTCAAAGAAAATTATAACTAGGGTGTTCTGAAAATTGCAACATTAGTTTTCAGCATCATCAAACAACTATATTTGGAATAACAAAGCGAATTTGTGCTGAAGCTGCAGCAGTTCCTATAAATGGCTTTGGAAGAGATAAACAAATCTAAGCGTCGCATGATGGAAACGTCCAAGAAAAATATCTGAATACACTTGTCAATAATTAGCAGCACCTTATTGAGATTCACATATGTTTAAGTTAAATTTGTTATTGCTATAGGAATCTGCCATTTTCAATTTTTTCAAATCCAATTTATAAACAAACATTTTTGTTTACATAAATAGCGCTCAACGTCTGGGTTAGCACATATCTTATCATCTAATGCTTTATTGTTGGAGAGACATTTTTACACCGGGGCTGCAGATATTTTATAAATTTTAATATTGATATGATGCAAACACCAGAAAATTTTAAGGCCTGACCATTGGTCATAAATTAAATTTCACTCTAGAAGATGACCAATTGCTTGCTCCACTAGCAAAGATTTCCCTTATCAAAAGAACAACTAGCTACAACCTAGGGAAAAGCACAGCCTTAAGCAGTTACTTTGCTTTATTTGAAAGTAGTTTGAGATAGCATTCCCTTTAGGTGTCTGTTCCCAAAATTATTTAAAAAGTTCTTATTATTCAAAAACGAACTACTAGATATACATATAACTGAAAACAATCAACGATAGCCCATTTATGTGATTTCCCTGTCACACATAGTTAATACTGTCGACTTCAAAAGCAAATTAGATCTAGCTCTCGCACAATGAAAGGATTCTTAATCATCACTGAAAACAGAATTTTCCTGGTAACTCTATTTATATGTTGTTCTTTTATAGAAATTGCTGGAAGCCTTCAGGTCCATAAAATCGGCCAAAGTCCATCGCGCAGCATTGTGGATCCTGGGAGAGTACGCGAACTCTATCCAAGACATTGAAGCGGTTCTGAAAGAGATCAACCACACTTTAGGTGAAGGCCCCCTTGTGGATGCGGAGCAAAAACTCATAGCAGGGGAGGTGGAAGAGAACAGTGCTGGAACCGGCACTGGAGGAAGTGTCACTTTGGTCACTTCCGATGGAACTTACGCTACACAGTCTGCATTCAACACGACAAGGTACTAATTGTTGGAAGCATGAAGTATAAGTTTTATTTTTGATTTCTAAGTAATCACTAATGATTTTTCAGTAAATCAGCTAAAGAACAACGGCCAGCACTCCGGCAATACCTGATGGACGGCGATTTCTTCATCGGAGCATGTTTGGCGTCAACTTTGGCCAAACTGGCGCTGAAATTTGGCGAAATTGCAACTCCGCAGCAAAGGAATAAGTTCGATGCCGAAGTGATGCTCATTATGGCTGGAATCATACATTTGGGGAAGTCTGGTGAGTCCGAAAATATCTAAATGAGGATCTTTTTGACTTTAAAGAGTTATTGTAACAAACTATTTATTGCAGGTCTTCCAACGAAGCCCATAACGAACGACGACACGGACCACATCCTGTTCTGCCTCCGCACGTTGTCCGATCGCCCGCCCCAAGTGGTTCCAGTCTTCGAACAGCTGTGCAGACGCGCGTTGAGCGAAATGTTGGCCGCCAAGGAAGCTGAAGAGGCGGTGGCGCAGAAAGAGGCGCGCGAGAAGCAACCCGGAGGCGGTGGCAAAGCCGCGCAGGCGCAAGCCGATGATCCGGTAGGGTTCGCGCAGTTGGAGGCGGCTGAGAATAGAGAGTTGGGTGAGGACGTGTTCGAGATGGCGCTATCGAGAGCTGTGGTTGGTGAGTGATAAAACATACATTAATAACAATAATTGGTGCTGTTGCGTCTTGTAGAACTTCGGATTTCACTGTCTTTTCACTTTAAACTTCTAGAGGGTAGTCTGATAGATTATTTTAAATAAAGTGTGGATGAAGCACGCTTTTCATGCATTTTTTCCCAAAAGACGTATTTTTAGCAGTCATTTCTACCATTATTTACACCGCCATCTGCATTATGACGACGTTGACGTCTTTGCATATGTCATATATGAGAGGCGCTTGCCTGCGGTGTTGCCGGATTGAGTTCCTCATTTAGGAATATTAATCAATGGAAAACTGAAACAAACAACAATAGCATAATAAAAAGCGGTTCTTAATAAGTATAAAACAAAAACTAACAGTAGAAAGCTAACACACAATAAATTGTAAATAATTATAAAAAAACAAAAAATAAAAACAGTGACAAAGCAAAAAAAATATCATGTAATTATAAAAAACAAAAAATAACAAACAGTAAAATAAAAAGCTATTCTAAGTGATAACAAAAAACAAAAATTAAAAACAGTAGTAAAATGAAAAACAATTCCATATAATTATAAAAATATTGCTTTTTATTTTAATGTTTGTTAAATGTTGTTTTTTATAATTGTTCTATACTTATTAAGAATCGCTTTTTATTTTTCTACTGGTGTTTGTTTCAGTTTTTCGTTTTATGTTTCATTAATTAATATATGTATTATAAATTTTCCACTTTTCATACTTTTTCCTAAATGCGGAGCCCAATCCGGCAACACCGCAGGCAGCGCCTCTCATACATGACATAAGCACAGACGTGCTGAGCCCTTTATCTCGGTTCCCTTAACACATTGGTGTATATGGTACTAAGAAAAATTGCTTATGTTTTCAAGATCTACACGTCGTGTAAAGGAAAACCCCATCTTTGCGGACACCCTGTACTGTTTGGACATCATATTAACAAAATTATGATCAAGTAATATATTAAACTATAAAGCTAAACTAATATTGCATTCTGACTGATGTATTAACGTTGTTATCCTTGTTTTATTATTTGATAAAAATTAGAACCGATTTTTGTTCTGGTTCAGGTGGCAGAGGTGGTCCGTCCGAACACCCAACGGGACTAACCAAACTGAACAAAATCACGCAACTGACCGGTTTCTCCGATCCAGTGTACGCCGAAGCGTACGTCCACGTCAACCAATACGACATCGTGCTCGACGTGCTGATCGTCAATCAGACGAATGACACGTTGCAAAACTGCACGCTAGAGTTGGCGACGTTGGGCGATTTGAAATTGGTGGAGAAACCGCAACCGGTCGTTCTGGCGCCCAAGGACTTTTGCAATATCAAGGCCAACGTCAAAGTAAGGAGATTTAAGTTAGTTTTTTGTAGGAATATACAGGGTGTTTCAGTTTATTGTTGCATAACTTTAAGATTCGATAGAACTTTTAAAATTAGTGCATAAAGTCTATATAAACATGGGTCGAAAAATGCGAGGCTTCCGAAATACAGGGTGTTTAAATTTACTTTCTAAAATAGTTTTTTTAAATATTTCGAACAATATTTGATGTATAACAGTGAAAATTGGTATACAAGGTTTTTTTGGTACGACAAAACGAACCATGGACATAGTTTTACTGTAGCCGCTAGAGGGCGCTCTCTACTGTACCTGTAGTGTATTAAAATGACAGAAAAAAATTTCTTAGTGCAATTTTTTGCTTTTTGAATAAAAAAACTGATTCTTCGCACTTTTTAACATAAAAAAGCTCTCTTGTGAATTTTAGTTATAGTTAGCCGTTTTTTGAGATATTTCGATTTTTAAGGTTCGATGCATTTTTAATTATTTATGATAAAATAACGTTAAAAAGTCAGTATCTTGATAATTTTTAGAAGTAAGCTGTGCCTGCAAATATTTTTGAAATTGAAAGCAGAATAAGGTTAAACGTCAATTAGTTGACACTTAGTTTTGTTGTCTGTTGAAACCTGAAACGTTTTTTTGCAATTGTGAATGCACGAAATTTAGTTTCTTTTAGCTGTTTTTTTTGTAAGTTTTATCAAAATGCCATTTTTATTCTCCAATGAGTTAGCGGATATTCATTTTGTGTATGGCTTTGTAAATGGAAACGCAGCAGAAGCAGCCAGAGAATACGCACGAAGATTTCCAAACAGACGACATCCAACTCGCTCAGTATTTGTAAGAGTGCATCGCCAAATAATTGAAAATGGTTTTGGAAATCTCCAAAGGGATCAAAACATAAATGTTCGTCAGCGCAGATTTACCCGTATGATTCTGCGTGAGTTTGATAGAGATCCGCCCACAAGTGTTAGGAGAGTTTCTGGTGCATTGGGAATTTCAGCAAGTCATGTTCACCGTGTTCTTAGAAATGATCATAGACGTCCTTACCATTTGCAACCTGTGCAAGGACTACAGCCAGGGGACGGAGAACGAAGAATAACATTTTGTCAGTGGATTCTTGATAGAATTGATAATAATAGGGAGTTTTTAAGTAACGTTTTATGGACCGATGAGTCATGCTTCACTAGACGTGGAGTGGTAAATTTTCATAATCAACAAATTTGGTCGCATGAAAATCCGCATGCAGTTCGGGAAAGAAATTTTCAGCATGAATTTAGTGTGAACGTGTGGATTGGTATCTACCGTAATCGACTATATGGACCCTACCTTTTGCCTGCAAGGTTAAATGCTGCGACCTTCTTGGAATTTTTAAAGGCTGAACATGCAAATATGTGGGATGATGTTATGTTAGATTTAAGAAGATTGGCCTGGTTCCAGCTTGATGGTTGTCCAGCTCATAATTCGAGAATAGTTAGAAACTGGCTGGACGAAAATTATCCTGCCTGGTCTCCACGATCCCCTGATCTAAATCCATTAGATTTCTTTGTGTGGGGATTTCTAAAAGAAAAAGTGTACCAGACTCCCGTAACCACAAGAGATATGCTAATAGACAGAATCAGGAATGCATGTGATGAAATAAGGCCTTATTTGAATAATGCTATACCACGTTTGATCATTCGTAGATGTGAATTGTGTATTGAACAATTGGGTTTACATTTCGAGCAACTACTTTAGATTTTGTATGTTTGTCCTAACTATCTAATAGCCTTTTAGTTGTAAATAATTAATTTAATTTGTTAAAAATAATATATAAAGTTGAACAAATTAATATTCTGTTTTTTTGTGTTTATTTGGAGTTAGGAATTATTGCTGTGTTTAAAAACACAATCTAAACGATCATCTTAATTACTTGTAATGCCCAAATCGAAAATGTAAAAAAAATATTATTTTCCCATAAACAATTAAAAATGCATCGAACCTTAAAAATCGAAATATCTCAAAAACGGCTAACTATAACGAAAACTCACAGGAGAGCTTTTTTATGTTGAAAAGTGCGAAGAATCAGTTTTTTATTCAAAAAGCAAAAAATTGCACTAAGAAAAATTTTCGGTCATTTTAATACACTACAGGTACAGTAGAGAGCGCCCTCTAGCGGCTACAGTAAAACTATGCCCATGGTTCGTTTTGTCGTACCAAAAAACCCTTGTATACCAATTTTCACTGTTATACATCAAATATTGTTCGAAATATTAAAAAAAAAACTATTTTAGAAAGTAAATTTATTTCGGAAGCCACGCATTTTTCGACCCATGTTTATATAGACTTTATGCATTAATTTCAAAAGTTCTATCGAATCTTAAAGTTATGCAACAATAAACTGAAACACCCTGTATTTCTGGATCAACTCGTAGATTGTGATACCGCACTAACCTTTTTGTCTAATATCAATGGTTTCTTGGTAAAGTTTGGTTTTTATATTTTTTGCAGTCGTTCGTATTCAGTTTGATGTTATTTTTTTCAGGTTGCATCGACAGAAAACGGGATCATATTCGGCAACATCGTGTACGACGTCACGGGTGCCGCGTCGGATAGGAACGTCGTCGTTTTAAACGATATCCATATTGATATTATGGACTATATCGTGCCAGCCGGTTGTACTGACCAAGAATTTATGAGAATGTGGGCCGAATTCGAATGGGAAAATAAGGTAAACAAATCAAACAATAATAATAATAACGAAATTGCATTGCTATGGATTTCAGTATTCAACTTATCACAAAATTATTTAATCAGTAGAAGTCAAAGAACTAAAATTGGCAATACATTATCAAACATTAGAAACATTTCGGTAGGTGTGCCACAGGGTAGCAAATTAGGTCCATTACTATTTATTTTATATAATTATTAACGATATTCCTGATATTTTACAACACTGCAAAATATATTGTATCAAATAAGGATAGTGAAACTGCAAAATGATATGAAAAACGTAACAAATTGGTTAAATGTAAATAAACTTAAACTAAACACAAACAAAACAAAATATATGCTAATAGGAAAATCTTTAGATCAAAATACAATAAATCTTACAATTAATCATGAAAAAATTGTGTCAATTGAATCATTTAAATATTTGGGCATATACGTAGACAGTAAATTTGAAGGGCACTATGAATATATTATTTCAAAAATATCCAAGAATATAAATTACTTTTATAGAATTAGTATAGGCTTTCATTTACAAAACTGCCGTAGCAAAATGACGAGCAAGTCAGTATTTCCAAAGAGATTGTACGAATTTAATAAATTAAGTCATGATATCAAGATGTGTGTCAGTTTGAAAATGTTCAAAGGGAAATTGAAAAAATATCTCATGGAAAACCAGAATTCATAGTAGTGACATTTTGTATAAAAATATGTAGTCTTGAATACATGATATATTTTGTGATATACTGCGTTATATGGATATTATAGATATTGTAGCATTAATAAGAATATGGTGAAATACTTCTTGTTAAAAATTCGTAAATACGCATTTAAATTTTGTTTTTACCGTGACTGCATTGGAGCAACACTTTCATTTTTATACGTTTTAAAATAAATATTCGAAACTGGATGAATGTTGGATAAAAATGCCAAAATTACTGTTAAAGAACAATCAATTACTGCAATAGAAAGAGAAATGTTGATGAAAGTTTAAATATATTTTGAATTACAGCAGACGCTCGATAATGTAAACTAATTTAATCCAAGTGTGGTTCACATTATCGAAATGTTTACATTAGCGAACGTGATTTATATAATAATTGATTTATTAAAAGAATCGTTTAATACATACCTACTATTTATAACAAAATAAACAAATATTCTAACAGCGATAAGTATTTTTTTAATTAGAAGAAAAATAATTAAAAATTTTTGTTTGCGTAAATTTGCGCTTAGCATTGTCTTCAAATGCCTGCGCCCGTAATTTACAAAGAACTAAAATATCCGTGTATGAAACTTCTTTTCTTTCAGCCCAATCTAAAGCTTGGTTAAAAACTGGTATAGCTTGCGCGTCAGTCACTACACTTCTGACTTCAATGGGGTCGTTCTCATCATCCTCACTGTCCATATCCTCCTCCTTATCAGCATCATTCGTCTGCTTATCTTCGTTCCATAAATGAATATCAGCAGGAGTACAAACAATGTTGGGATTCACTGTTTTCAATAAATCAACAACTTCCAATGACACACTAATAACATTATCATTATTGGATCGCAAACGTTCTCTAATTACGCTTAAGGGGACATCGTCTTCTTCATCATCTTCATTATTGGTACAAAAGAGATTGTTCCAACATTTTTTAATAGTTTGCTGGTTAAGTTCATTCCAGGCCATATGTAAATCTAAAACAGCTTCTCGTAATGTTACTTTTTTTAAAGCCTCAGACAATTTTTCAGGATTCTTTGATAAGACAGACGAAAGTAGAAACTTCCTATAGTATAGTTTGGTGAGTCTTATTATATTCTGGTCCATCGGTTGAATTAACGGTGTTACGTTGGGCGGCATGTACATGACGAAAATTGACCCATCCCTGCTCCTCAGTTGTTGCTCGGGAGGATAACTTGGTGCATTATCCAATAGTAACAACGCTTTTATTGGAAGCTTCTGTTGTTTTAGGAAACCGTTTACCTACAAATTGAAAACACATCTTCAAATTATGAATAGAGCATTTGTAATAATTGATTGTCATACCTGGGGGACAAAGCACCTGTGGAACCATTTCAGGAATATACTGCTAGTCATCCAAGCGGTTTTTGAACAGTCATAATCAACAGGGATATTAACATTTTTAAATGAGGGCGGATTTTTTGCTTTCCCAATTACCAGTGGCTTTATTTTGTGTGAACCATTAGCATTAGTGCAGGCTAGAAACGTTATTCGTTGTTTCTCGGGCTTTCTTCCCGGGGCAGATTTTTCAAATGATGCAGCATAGGTTTCCTCTGGTAACATTTTCCAATAAAGGCCACTTTTATCTGCGTTGTAAATTTGTTCCATTCTTAAATCTAGCTCGGTAATTGTTTTCATCAATTTTTCTTTGAATGGTTGCACTAATTGTGGTTGTGCTGATAATTTTTCACCAGATATAGACAGCCGTCGAATTCCATATCTTGTTTTGAATCGTTGAAGCCAGCCATCACTAGCTACGAAATTTTCAGTTTCTTTCAGTTTTTCATTTAACAGTCTCGCTCTCTGTTTAAGTACTTCGCCACTAACTGGGACATGATTTTCCCGTTGTTTTAAAAACCACTTATACAGGGAATTTTCCATTTTAGGTGCCTTCGCATTTTTTAAAGTTTTTCTTTTTCCCGGTCCTCCAAATGTATTGCACGTTCTTTGTAAAATTTGAGTTTTCATACGCTTAATTTTACAGATTGTTGCTTTCGATACTCCATATTTTTTTGCTAACTGTGTCACTCCCGCACCTAGTGCAACTTCGTCTATGATTTTCACTTTCTCACTCAACTTTAAACACTTTCTTTTATAGGATGTGGATGCCATAGTCGCAAAATATATTAACGCGTGCAATGTATTCACTTAAGTTCAAACATGAAATACATACGTACGTATAAACGTATCCTAAACGATCATACGACTGTCCGAGTTTGTCGTATTTTATCGCACTCTACATCATAAATCGGGGACTCCCCGACGCCCGAAATTAATCATCGAGGCTTCAGCATTTTACCGTCGCGCTGTTTCCGTGCGCCGAGAGTTGTTTACATTATCGAGCGTACACATTGTTTACGTTATCGCGCGTTCCGTTTGACCCTATAGAACGGATAAGTTTGTGTTTACATTAGCGCAAGTTTTCATTATCCCGTGTTTACGTTATCGAGCGTCTGCTGTATAATATTTTAAACTTATTGCTTGCACGTTTTTCATAAGTATTTTTTTAGCAAGTATGATAAACCACCAAGATACCAAAGCTTCTGAGAGTGTTTTTATGCTTTTCAGAATTTAGCTGTTCTTGCCATTTAAGAGGAAGTAAATGAAAATTGATTTATCTATAAGGAATTGCCTTGTCTTACATCATTTACTGAATAATATATCTTTTTTTTTTTCAGGTAACTGTAAACACCCCATTAACAGACCTCTCAGATTACCTGAAGCACCTCCTGAAAAGCACCAACATGAAATGTCTAACGCCAGAGAAAGCGTTGAGTGGGCAATGCGGATTCATGGCGGCCAACATGTACGCCAAGTCCATCTTTGGGGAAGACGCGTTGGCCAACCTGAGCATCGAGAAGCCGTTCAATAAACCGGATGCGCCGGTGCAAGGACACATTAGGATCAGGGCAAAGAGCCAGGTGAAAATCTAGAATAATCCTCCCATGTTTGTCAAGCCAAATCGAACCACATATATGTTTAAAATTCCTCTTCATCTTACGATGTTTCAGTCTCAAGTACAATTGGCAGTTGTTATGCTTCTTTTGAGAAAATCTATACTTCAAATTTTACCCTCTGTTTGAGATTCGCCCCCACAAATTTTGATATGGGGGGGCCCCGAGTAGCGAGCTACGCCTCAGTTCAGAAAGATATTTTTCAAAATTTGGAAAATGGTTTCTAGGTTTTATTGCTCATTCTTCCTTTTTTCCAGGGTATGGCGCTTAGTTTGGGGGACAAAATCAATATGACACAGAAAGGGACCCAGAGCAAAGTGATAACAGCCTAGATGTTTTCTTTTTTATTAATTATATGAAATTATGTTCGTTTGTACATGATATGTTAGACTTAAGTGGAATATTTTATGTTGACATTGTTTCAAAAACATGTTTTCGGTATATATTGATTAATAAAATATTTGAACGATCATTTTTGTTTTTTGTAACCTTCAATTGAAAATCCACAGACTTTTTTGTCAAAGAGTTTACTGACATTTTATGGAATGTTGTTATACATGATGTTTACTAATTGAATGTTAACGTTTAAGTGGCGATTTTTGAGTCCATTTTGAAAACTCTTCTTTTTTCAAACTGAAAAACGGTAGGCTTGGGAAGTGAACAAATGAAGTCTGAGTTAATCCATGAGTAGATTTATACCTTTGTTTTTTAGTTCTTTTTGAAAACCTCACCACCCTACGGCGCTTAGACCATACTTTCATGTTTTTCCTCTTAAACTGGAGCAAAAAATCTCAGCCTCAAATAATGACATTCAATTACGACACACCCCGTATAAATTTGGTATTTCCAGAATGTTATAGAAGTTGATGAGGAAATATTTCAGCAAAATTGAAGTCAAATGAACAATTTTATTGTTAGTGAAACATATTTGTAAACTTATCGCGATGTTTGTAGCAAAGTTGAGAAGAAATCTGCAGATTCGGCAGCGCCATCTACTGGTTACTCAACAAACTACAATCAACGTGGAGTAGGACTCTATTGCAAAATAATTGTTGGTGTTTGCTTAGTAAAGCAGTCAGTTAATAGATAGCGCCAATGGTTTCAGTTTCACAAGTGGTGTTTACAAATATTAATAATAAATGATTTATTTTTGAAAACCTCACCACCCGTATCTCAAAAATTACGGCGTTTTTGCTTTTAAACTGGACCAAAAAATCTCCGCCTTGAATATTGCATTCCATTAAGACGCATTTCCAGAGTGTTATAGCAGTTGGTAAGAAACTATATCAGCAAAATGGAAGTCTACAACAATTTTATTGTTGGTGAATGGTTATAAGTTTTCAACATATTTGAAACTTAACCCTATGTTTGTAGCAAGGTTGAGAAGAAATTGTAAGCTTGGCAACGCCGTGATTACAATGCGCCATCTATTGACTACTCAATACACTACAATCAACGTGGAGTAGGAATCTATTGCAAAATAATTGTTGGTGTTTGCTCAGTAAGGCTGTCAGCTAATAGATGGTGCCAACGGTACCAGTTTCACAAGTGGTGTTTACAAATATTAATAATAAATGATTTATTTTTCAAAAAACCTCACCACCCTGTATCTCAAAAATTACGGCGTTTTTGCTTTTAAACTGGACCAAAAAATCTCCGCCTTGAATGTTGCATTCAATTAAGACACATACTGTATAAATTTGGCATTTCCAGAGTGTTATAGAAGTTGGTGGTAACATGCAAAATGAAGTCAAATAAGCAATTTTATTGTTGGTGAATGGTTATAACAGTTTCCAACGTATTTGACGTTTGTAGCAAGGTTGAGAAAAAATTGTAAGCTTGGCAACGCCGTGATTACAATGCGCTATCTATTGACTACTAAACACACTACAATCAATGTAGAGTAGGAATCTATTACAAAATAATTTTTGGGGTTTGCTTAGTAAGGCTGTCAGCTAATAGATGGCGCCACCACTTTCGACTACAGGAAATTACAATTTTAAAAAGCCTTTTGTTTTAATATTATTTTTACCTTGGAGATGTCGCTTCCATTCTAATATAAAAAAGCGTTATTTGGTTCATACCACATCAAATGAAAAAAATGTACATACTTTTTAGGGAATAGATATGATAAGAATCTTAAAAATTCACTTTACTTAAATTTTTATCTACTTTATCTAAATATTACTTCCATAGTCTTAATATATTGTGAGACATCTACTGGTGATATCTCAAAGCGCTTACACAGTTGCCTTACCGTAAGTTTTTTCATTGTGTCCAGGACTTTCAATTTTGTTTAGGACTATTCCTGTTTTGTTCTTGCCTCTTAAATATGTATTTTATGACGAGGAGTCTAATTTGAAGCCGCTTTCTGTTTTCGTATAGTATTTTTTTATTGGGAAGCAAGCATTTTAATTTTTACCTCGCTCACGTTGAAACTATTGACGTGATAACATTCTCTTACCCTATTTATTCAAGCAATACAATCTATTTGGAAAATTTGTATATTTTGACAATCTAGCTCAAAAGGAGAATGAGGGATTTATAAACAAAGACAATGTAAAGCTTTTCTAGTGAGTCTGGAACTTACCTGGATATATTTTATAAAATGACTTGGCAGCCTCGCCTGACTGTATGACAAGCTAGACCAAAGTCAAACTCGACCTGTCAAATTTACTTCTACAACTTTCCGAAAAAAGCGTCATAAACAAAAATCGATAAACATGGTGGTTAGTTTACTCGTATGCGAAAGGTTGTCAATTCTTTTCTCGAAATAAGGTGAGTTTTAATATTTTTTCTCTTCTACCACACACTTTCTAGCTTCTGCTCTCTTCCACCTGTCACAACATAGAAACTTCGAACACTGTTATTTCATTATATTCCTTAAAATCGTTGACATATTCCGACGTACTATGTGGGCGTATTAACGTCCAAAAGTTCAAATGCATATTTTCACATTTTTTTCTGAATTTACTCGTTCATTTGCGCCTTTTGAGCTGCCATACGTTTGTACTCGTAGTATACCACCAAATACTTACTAATTTACGTTCGGCCTTTGCGGATATAGCAATTTTTCGGCTACGAACTTACTAGAACTTCAGATCCTGGTAGACTTCAACTTGCTTACGTGGAAAAAACGACACTGTATTATTTCCTTAATACACCACAACACCCTGTAAATATGCACTGATAACCAAGCATTTAACCTTCTAGTCAAAAACTTATATTATTTTATACATTATTAGAGATTAGACAGTTGGAGACAATTTCTTACCGACCCGCGACCGTCGGCCAAATAATCACACATAACACGTTTAGTGGCAACCGAACTGACTGTGCCTGGACCGCGGATTTATCTGCTTTCTTGCCAGTTATGTAAAAAAAACTCCTGTTTTGTGCCAGTGACGTTTTAGTATACTCAAATTTAATACGTTTTTAAACATTTCTACAGGGTGCTCGGAAAATTTTTAGGAAAGAGTGTTATTGCTACATTTCCAATAGGTGCCATGGCATAAAGTACACTATAACAAATGTTGGAAATGTGCATCCATTTATCTCAGTCACCCTGCTTCATGATATTTTTTCGCATAAGGCACGAATTGCGCTATTGGTGTCATCTGTCTTCGACAAAATTTTTCATGACTTTCTAGTTTTCCTGATATTCGATTCGTATATTCATTGTCGATGTGGTGGATTGCATTTTCAATTCTCTATACAACGTGAATCTAAGAATAGCGAATTTATGTTAGACACAACTTGATGTTCTTTCTTAAAAGCAATCAATACAAATCATTTGCAGGCAGTAAAATACGCATAAAATATTCTCATCTACAAGCAATTCTAACTCTATTAAAAACCGGTATGAAAAGAACTAAACTAAATTTTCACACGATGTTGTAACTATCTTTCATATAGCAAGTCATTGAATGATTTAAATCAGTCAACTCCGCGGAAGGTTCGAGCTTTAACTCAGATCCTTGGCAACATCAAAAACAAAAGTTTTAAAGTGACTTTTTAAGCATTGTAATTGGCCATTTTTAGAGTTTTTCAGGCTTCAAAGCATTCATATCTCGAAAACAGAAGAGTTACCACGGCTTTTAAAGGGACCACACAACACGTAATTAAAAAAAAATTGGTTACAAAATTTCACCCTCAAATGCAAGATTTTCTACACAATCTTACCTAAAAAAGTACAAACAGAAACTCGCACTACATGTTGTAACTGCATTTTATCCATTTTACGTCAGGAATTTTTTAGTTTGGAATTTACGTTGTGCTTTGTCATATGTTTTCTGCATTTTATAATGGTCGAGATTACGACTTATGACTTAACCTCACTTTTACGACTGCTCGTAAATTTTATCGATTGGCATTTGTCATCGCTGACTGTCCGATTTCGAACAGTTGATTCACATTGCAAAGACTCTTCGACTTGCATCATAAGCGCTAAAGTATGATTATTCTTTACGTAAAAGCTGATAATGTGCCATGCAATTTGTTGCGAAATTTAAGTGAACAGGTGTTTTCAGTTTGAAACTGCGGCACGGTCATGAAAAGGAGTAAAATATGTTTATCAATATTCGATTATAGACCAGGCAGCATTCTTTTTGAAGATTAGAGCACCAATCTCTTTGGAATGTGTCCGTAACTTATTGGAGGTAAAAATTCTCCAATTTAAAAATTTGCGAACGAGTTACAGTGGATTTATATGTCTTGAAACCGGTGTCAAAAAAGTGTGAACGATATTCCTCATATCGACAAGTGACACAATTCTGACGATAGATCTGTAAACAGAGTCGTATTTTGTTGTGGCCTTTTCTACACTACTGATTCATAGTTCCTAACGCTTTTATTAAGAAAATTACCTTCGTACACAAGAAACAAACTCCAAGCAAAATGGTTGTTTGATGATATGATGATACAGAAACACGTATGTCGGCTCATACTTTTTAAAAAAGTAATCAGCTTAATTCATTTTTTTTTTTAATTTTTGTTGGGGTTCGATGCTGCCGATTCAATTCACACTAAAAGCAAATTCAAAACCGCAAGCAAGCATAGGAGCTGATATACATGAAAACTATTTAAATTTTTAGTTTCGTATCTTATAACTTTCATATATTATAGGTTGGCCCAACTATTGAAATCTTAGTTTTTTCTTATCAAACAAAAATGTAGTAAGTTTAAAATATTAACAATGAATATTTTGATAATATATAGTAGAAAACACCAACTTTCTCACTCCCTGATCAAATTTGCAGCATAAAAATAACATGTTGCAATTACAGCATATCAACCTATTTTAATTTCAATGCAAAATAAGTCTATAAAGCATAGGTGGCTGTGAAAAATAAAAGCATGTCAATTTTTTTTATTAATCATATCTGATTTGCCACAGAACCTGTTGCCTCGAATTTACGCACCAGACGACCGATGGTTGTTTCGTTTGGGCGGTTGTTGCGACCGAAATGTTCA